TCTCTGTTAACACATCCGCTTGATAGCGATGTATTCATTGGATAGCGTTATCCGCCCTTTGAGCAACTGGGTTCTGTTCTATTTTAGAATCTATCAATTTTTTTAAAGTATTTTTATATGACTCCGAGGATGTCGGTTTACGTTTCAAATCCGTTGTCTTTATTTCTGATGAAAGTCAAAAGACTTTATCAGCTCTATCTTTCAGAGAGTTCCTTATAAAATTTGTTCAAACGATTTGGTTACAATCTGTTGACCAAGCTCTAACTGCCAGTCTCTTTAGCAAAGAATCTATAATTGGTACAAATCCAGATCTTCCTGCATGGGAAACCGACAATCATCCCTTCATTTCTGGGGCTATGCGTCCTCGCCTGCCGAATCACACATCTACTAACTCGTAATTAGGCCCCAGACCTGTGTGGAAACAAGCATCCGCTGGCAATACATTACCCTTTAAGAGTTATCCACAGCACACTTTGTTTACCTCGCCCCTGTTGTGTCCCCACCCATCCCCTTTCCCCGCACACCTCCCCTTTAGGAACCTCCCAGTGGTCAAATTTCATTTAATGGCTGTGCAGATCGAAACAGAAAAAAAAATGCCGATAAACTTTTTTTTGCTTTGGTTTATATTGAAAGAGAGGCGCTCGAGGCTTATAAAGAATGGAAAAAATATTGCTGCTCGTGGATGATACATGCTTATCATATTCCTTTCATAACAAAACTCTAAAAACAATGGCGTTTTACACTTCTTTTCGTGTAATGTAAATATTTAAGAAGCATAAGCATCACCTTAAACGAAAAAAACATCACAAAGGTAGCTATTATAACTTGAATGTAATCTAATCAAAGAGCAACTAAAGACAATTAAAAAAGCTCTTTCCTACATCTGCAAAAGGGAAAATTTAAAAAAATTTTTTTAAATTTTAGCAGATTTCCGCTTTCTGAAGTAAAAACAAAACAACCCAAAAAGAAAAAAGAGGAAAACTTCAAATGAACGCTAGTAACAACTGAGAATCTGAGAGTATAAATCGTAACTGTCAGCGGCAGTACCACATGTAAAAACCCAGTTGCAATCGCAATTTGAACGACATGGGCATCTCCTTACAAAGAGCAGATTCGGGCAGTTATCACTTCCTTGTGACAGGAACTAAGATATTTCGAATCATCTAAAAACTGTCGGAAAACTGTTAGAAAATTTGCATAAGATATGATGAGGAGAGACTTATCACCGCCGCAGTGCAATCGAGTCAATCGATATTTCCTTCCATATTGAAAGTTCGAAATAAAAGATTTAATGGAATCATAATGTCATAATTCTACCTTTCAAACAACTTATTATCCACACGTAAATCGCAACTTGTCACTTGAACGAATTTTCCCATGGTTAATATGTAATCTGGATTGCTTCATGTCCTTCAGGAAAAAGAAGAGTCAAAGGTCTCTTTAATTTTCCCCTGAGGTGGCCGGCTCACCAGGAAGAAACAGGAGATCGTTCGGTCCAATAACGTTGGTCTGTAGAGATTATCAAGCTAATAACTGAGAAGATTGTGCCCTTTGGTTGATCAGTGACAGTATTAATTATTTCAAATCTGTATTTCTCGGTCCAACCGACACTAAAAATAGTTCCTTTGTAATTTTGTAAGTACTTTCTATGGCATTTTATTGTCAAGGGAAATAAATCTCAAGGCTCAAAACCAATATAACGTTCGAGCAAGTGAAAGACTCCCCGAAAAAAGCTAAATTTTTGGAAATTGATTGTGATGAAATTCCTGTTCCGTTTGCTGTACTGCAGGGATACTGAGTAGTTCAAAATCTCCACTTGGTGATGATTTTCGTGCGAGTCGTACAAATTGCTATTGTGGCGACTGGGTTTTACATGTAGTACTGCCGCTGACAAGTTGCGATGTCTGCCCTCTCAGTGTTAACGAGCATTCAATCGAGGTTTTCTTCTTCTTTTTGGTTGTTTTCACCTAGAATGCGCGGAAATCTGCTGATATTTCGAAAAATGTCCATTTCTCGTCTTTTATGGGGCGACCGATGGAAACTTCATGGAGAAATACGGATTCACGCCATCGTGACAACGTACATGTTAAGGACAAATGACCGGTGTGAGGATAGTTTCGTGTAGATCAGCCGACTTCAACATGTCTTAAATGACATACAAGTATAACAGTGTATCTTCAGAGGACTTCAGATCGCTCAAATTCCCATAAAAGAAGGTGCAGCATTCGGAATCTGGATGTTATGCACACGATTTGAGGTATATGTTTGTTGTTACGTCGAGTAGTCCTCCATGAAGGTTGATCAATTTTTTTTTAAAGATGACTACTAGAGGTGAGATTTCTCTTCGGGATATTGCTCATAAGATAACATTCTTTTAAAGCCTTGAATGTTTCATTTTTCTGAAACATTTATTGTTGAGAACATTAGAAACATCGCCAAATTATGCAATATCTGACTTTGAGCTTCGTTTGCGAATTTCCCCCATAAAAAGTAGAGGCAGGTCCGCATAGATTTTTACATATTTAATAACTAGAATATTGTAACCAGCTAGGTGGGTAGTTTCAGTTGCAGAATCGGTGCACCTTTGGAGAAATTCAGATAAACGTTTTCCCTGTTTTACCCGACAACAAAAATGACCGAAACTGTACCGAGATGAATAATCTATTGCTGTGTTCACATTCACTCCCAGGGAAAATTGAATGAATCAATGTAGAGACAACTAATGTTACTATGTATGATAGAAGTGCCAATTTGTAATGTTTTGTTTAGCTCGAGATAGAGAAATAAAATTTCAATTTTTTTTGGCGACGTTTTTGTGTGAAAACGAGGCCCTGGGCCTCGAACAAGCAGCTGTTGTTACCATGGCAACAAGAGTGCTGCGACCTTTATAAAGGGTATTTTTGTGCATCCACCCTGAGCGCCTAACTGCATGCAAAATTTGAAGGGGGGTTGGAAATTTTCATTCCCCAAGATGTTTTATTCTTACAGAGAGTTGTTCTTAATTCGGCTGTTTCGTCCTGGTTAGCAGCTAAACCTCGTCGCAAGCGCCCTCCAAAGGTTTTCAACACAGCACCACAACCAGGTCCAGGATCTGCAAATGAGGATGTTCCAGTGGTAATTGTACATGATGTTGGTGTACAGGCAACTGATGATGACGCCTAGTTACTCTATTCTGTTGAGGAAGAGGTAGAGGAAATCTCCAAAGCCTTGGAGCTGCCAGATTTGGATGCCGAAGATTCTGATTGTGGCTCTGACTTTGAGTTTTCATAAACTACAAAAAGAGTCAGTTTCACACTTTATCACTTTATAAGCTGAAGTTAAAGGCCCATTTCCAACCTTGAGCCAACGCGTTCGTTTGTTTTCGTTTTGAACCACCGCTTTTGTTTAAATAGCGCCTCTGATTGGTTAGTTATTTTTACCTTGTCAGGTCTCAAAATACCTTCTGCCTTTTCTCCGATGAATTTGAAGAGCTTATCAAAATAATTCTGTTTAAAACAGTTCTATACGTTTTAATCCGGTATGGAATTGGATGAATCTATTGATTTAGTAGATTCCGAGGCAGTAAACGCTTATGGATCGGTTGTTGCTAAAGAGAAACGCGAAAATCCTTGCGAGCATTTCGAAGAAGGTGAAAATGTTGATCCACCACGTTTTCATTCATTCATCAATTTTTTTTAATTGAAGTTTGCCATCCTTGTTAAATAGGACCAAGGGTCAGTTGACGTTTCCTGCCCGTGGAGAGGAACTTGCGCTCGAAAGAGTGGTCGGCGTTGTTGTCCATGCAAAGCAGCAAATAAGAATTGTAACGCAAACTGTCAGTGTCGCTGACGTTCGAGTTCCTGCAATGAAGTGACTACACTTAAAATAATTAAACGTCCGGCAGTGCGATATTTTTCCATATTTCTCTTCGAAATCCAAAAAATATTTATATGAAAATGTTCTACCTTTATGTACAATCCTCAAGCGCCTCCAGGCAGCCTAAAATTTCGAACTTGATGTTTCTCGCTAACCCTGTATAGAGTACGAAGCCATCCAAGCGCTTAAAATTTCAATGACACGGCTGGACACGGTCCTTAAACAACTCCATATTTCTCTTTGAAATATACTAATTTTTCACTAGAAAATATTCTACCTTCATTTACAATCCTCAAGCGCTTCTAAAAAGTGAAAAAATGCCAACTTTCTCCGTTTCGCTGACCTTGTACACAGAGTACGAAGAGATCCAAGCGTGACACTAAGAAAATTTTCACCAGACACTACCGGACACGGTCTTCAAATAACTAAACGTCCGGCAGTCTGATATTTTTCCATATTTCTCTTTGAAAAATACCAGTTTCTATCGGAAGTATTTTGTCTTCATTTAGAATCCTCAAGCGCTTCTAGAAAGTGAAAAAATTTGAATATTGTCCTTTTCGCCGACTCTTCACAGAGTACGAAGAGCTCCAGGCGTGACACTTAAAAAACTTTTTCTTAGGATTCTTCAAGACAAAAGTCAAAATACTGTAAGGAAACAGTGAAATAACGAACGGCGAATGTATTTACCGTAAAACTGTTGACTATATGTTCAGGATGGCTCTTGAGAAGGACGATTTTAGAAGGGTTTCAGTGATCTGGGAATTTCGTGTTACAGGAAATTGGATCGCGGCGCGAGTTGCATCAAGGTTGGAAATGGGCCTTTAACTTGTAACTGTAGGATAAAAAGAGGCTCCGAAAACAACAGTGAAATAAACAAATTCTCCCAGAGGACCATTTTTTTTTTAATTATAATAGATTAAGTATGCATAATTCCAAGAAGATTTCTTCTCCAGATTGCAGGAAAATGCGTTTGTGGGAGACTTTTCTTTTAAAAATTTCCCGGGGGAGCATGCCCCCGGACCCCCCTAGAAGTTCGGGCCTTCGGCCCTCAATTTTCCAAGGTACCTGCCTACTTTAAAGGCAGTGCCCTTCTACTTGAAAGTTGTTTAAACCCTGCTTTAATTGCCTAAGCAAGACATTCCATTCTAACACAAATCAAACTTGGTTAGCGTCTTGTTCACTTTCATTGCCTCAGCAATACATGTAGCACCCGCAGCACTAATACCATTCCCAGACAAATACAAATTGGTTAGCGTCTTGTTCACTTTCATTGCCTCAGCAATACATGTAGCACCCGCATCACTAATATCATTGCATCGCAAATCCAAATTGGTTAGCGTCTTGTTCACTTTGATTGCCTCAGCAATACATGTAGCACCCGCAGCACTAATATCATTGTATCGCAAATTCAAATTGGTTAGCGTCTTGTTCACTTTGATTGCCTCAGCAATACATGTAGCACCCGCAGCACTAATACCATTGACAGACAAATCCAAATTGGTTAGCGTCTTGTTCACTTTGATTGCCTCAGCAATACATGTAGCACTCGCAGCACTAATACCATTGACAGACAAATCCAAATTGGTTAGCGTCTTGTTCACTTTGATTGCCTCAGCAATACATGTAGCACTCGCAGCACTAATACCATTGTAAGACAAATCCAAATTGGTTAGCGTCTTGTTCACTTTGATTGCCTCAGCAATACATGTAGCACTCGCAGCACTAATACCATTGTAAGACAAATCCAAATTGGTTAGCGTCTTGTTCACTTTGATTGCCTCAGCAATACATGTAGCACCCGCAGCACTATTACCATTGAAAGACAAAGACAACTTGGTCAGATTCAAACCAGTTCCAAACGACTGCGATAAATGCGAGTGAAAATCACTTTTTTCTCTTTTGCATTCGTTGATGGCCTCCAATACAATTTCTGCACCACGGCCTTCATCTTTGTTGACTTCATTTGTTAAACTCTTTACAAGAGCCACAACCTGTTCATCGCATTTCATGGCCAAAATTCCACACGAAAACAAAAGTATTTGTTTAAGTTCAACGAAATACCTTGGATCGGAAACTAGTTCTTCAGGTTTCATTTCCTTGCTTTGAATCTGAGAACAAATGAAGAATGCTGCAAAGAATTCTTGAAAACTTTTATGTAAGAAGGCATAATGCAGTGTTTGTCTCAGTTTGCTGCCACCACGCTGCACTGACAGAAACCCAAATTCAGTCAAGTCTTTTGCATGGTTTCTCAATTCACTTTCATTTAAATCCAGCTTATCGTCGAGTAAACCATTCAACGCTAACTTTCCAAGGTGATTCAATTGCGGTTTGTAATGGTTTGTCAGGTCTTCGATCTTTTCTAATAGTCCCTTCTTTTTTCTATATCTTCTCAAAACACATTCAACCATATCCAAGTACAGTTGAGCTCTGCTTTCGGGGAGTGTGCCCTCAAACTCTTCGCATAAAAGGCAAAGAAGTGCTGTGTTTAGAGGATTGGCCGCTATTTCTCTCAGGTTTTTATCTCGCGACATCCGTCGCGAGAGCTTGGTGGCTAAATCCGTCCTTTCTTTAAAGTACTTGGTGACAAATTCTATCACATGCTTTTCAGTGAATCCTTCGATCTGAAGCAGCGCGTCACAACATTTTCTCACCTCTTTTCCAGCTTCTTGTCTTGCTGTTGCAACTATGTGGCATTTAGGGAGTTCTCTTCCTTCAATTAATTTGGAAAACATCGACAATTTCCCGGATGGTAACTCATCCAATCCATCCAATATCAATAAAATGCTGGACTGATTTTCACGAATAAACTGAAAAAATTGTTGTTTGACTTTTTCATCGATGCCTAGGGGCAGCAGCTGATCATCAATGGCTTCCCAAACGTCAGAGTGGATATCTCGACATTTAAGCAACAATACCAATTTTAATGCTGTTGAGCCGCAGCCCTGAGGTGCTTGCTGTTTTGTGGCCCAGTCGTAGGCGTACTTTTTACAGTAGGTGGTTTTTCCCATACCAGGTTCTCCTTCAATCAACACCGTTCTCGGCGCTGAACACTCTTCATACGGGTCTAGTATTGACGACATGTCAACAAATACGTCAGTGATTTGTCCTCTCGTTTTCTTTCTTCTGACCACTTTGAGCCTTGTAAAAATATTTCCAAGAAAAAACTGAAACTCTTCACACCATGGAAATGGTGAGAGCCATCCCTCACGAGTCTTGTACAGCTGGCGAATTCCATTGATAAGTTCAGTTGGATCAAAAATATCTTGTAGTAGCAAAATAAGTAAGAAATCTAATGAATGCAGCGTTGAAAATTATGATACCTCTCTGGTATTCGGCACTGAATTTAAATATGCGAATGAGTACGATACCGTTGCCAAAGAAATTACTAGGACTACGCAAAAAGGTTTTAGTGTATGATTCATGCTTACTGATTAAAAGCCATTTAGATTATGAATTCAGTTGAACCTCCTCTGTTTGTTCGGCTTTACCGGTGTCTAACAGTGAATTTCTGTTGTAAAATAAATTACACGGGAGATCCTAACCCTAACCCTAAGTCTTTTCTTCCTCAGGAAATGTAAAATAACCACATACATCTTATTCTAACCTATTTTACTAGAGATGATCCTCATTTAACTATTTTCCCATGTAGAATTGAATACTTCACAATATGAGCGAAGAAAGGGTTTAGTTACTATATTCAGAAATATGCGGATCACATTTAATGCTGCTAGGTATTCGGCACTGAATTTAAATAAGTGAACGAGTTCGACACCATTGCCAAAGAAATTACTTGGACAATGACGAAAAGGTATCAATGTATGATTCATGTTAATTTAATGACCAAAGGCCATTTAGCTTATAAATGCCGTCGAACCTGCTCAGTTAATTTCGAACATGGAGCCGAACTTAATGCCAATATTTTCGTCAAAACTGTACTTTATTTTTATAGCGTTCTCCCTTCTTATAAAAATGTAATGTTTCCGGGCTAATTACGGGTGAAAGTTTAAATAATTGTAGGGAATGAAAGCACACCACAGAGACTATTCCAGAGATTATTTAAATTGAAAAACTGAATCTCTCTAAGATAGGATGATCTCTCTCTTACATACAGTACATTGTTAACTACGGCTAAATTTGCGGTTAAGCAGGATAACTTTTATTGTATAATTCAACTGACCTTCATTCTTACTTTCTCCCACAGGGGTTGCCAAAGTACACAGCTTTTCCTTCACTTCTTTAAGTTCATTGTCCATCTTTGCCATTTCGCTTCTCATTTTCTCAAGAGACCCTTTCGTGGAATAACATTGGAAATTTTTAGTCCGAGTGAGAGTCACTTTATATATTAAAAGTTAACTAAATAGATCCTTTTCCCTTCCTTTGTGTTTTCTTTTTATTCTATACAACATTCTAAAAAACCTTTTGACCCAGCTTCAGCGGTTTCTAATAGTGAAACCTAAGATATAAATATTGATATCATTGGAGCCGATAGTCTGAGAAAGATTTTTGTCAGTAAAAGCGACATTGTAAGAACTAATTAATAAAAACCAAAGAACGCCTTTCCGCCCTCTCATTTCTCCTTAGGTCTTCAACAAAAGTAAAATTAGTATAAGGCTATAACCTTCTCGGCTAAATATGTATGAGTGCTGTCAGAAAACTATCCAACACCGTGAGGTAGTCTCACATCCATACCATCCCATTCATCCCACACATTACCAAGTATCTTCATTTATAGCCAGAGCAGGTTAAAAGCCAAGGTGTGCTTACAACAATACATTACCTAAAAAATGTTAAATTGTCTGACATCACGCGAATAATGTGGTCATGCTCAGAAGATGTGTTAACAGAATCCCTGTTGATAGTTCAGTTTATGTGTGAGTAGCTCTTTCTAGTAACCAACCTTCATCTGTGCTTTTTTCCACTGTGGTCGTCAGGCTTCTAAGCGTCTCTAAAATCTCCTTCATTTTAAGCTCTATCTTCTCAGTTGTGTCTCTGAGGTCGTGCCTCATCTTTTCTCGCGAATCTGGAAATGTAAGAAAGATAGGCGCAATTTCATAAGCACGTTTAAACCACATATTTATGTTTAGGCGCAGACAAAACAATGAAACGTATATCAATATCTAGTCGATTCCGAATAGATCAAACTCAATGAGACGCTTAGAAATTACAAAAATGCACTCCAGCAGTTATACACGAGCACCCACGAACAGAAAAAAAAACTGCCGATGAAAACAGTGTGAACATTTGGGTTAATTCTTTATTTTTCACACATAACGCTAGAATAACGTTCCAAGTATGTGACTGGTTCCTGTGACGATAGGTTTTCGCTCGCTAGCTGGAAAACTGAATCTTCGCGGACGGCACAATAACAACTGGGGGAAATAACTCTGAAGAGACGACTCGGCAGCGAGAACGGAAACTCGTCACGATTTCCTGGTACACGGAGATCTACTTCGAGCAAGCTTATACGGACGTCAAGGATAAGACAATCTTTGGTTCCACAGTACTTTTATTCTAGGTCAGGCCAACAAGCGACATGACCTCTAGCATACTCTAGTTTGTAATCATCAAAGCCGTACAAGGTACTTGCTTAAGAAGTAACTGGTGTGAAGTGCTATTGTTACACAAATCGCAATATTTGATTAAGGACACAAAGGTGCGAAAAAAGTCTCTTTGAAGTTAAATGAAAACTACTTAAATATTCCATCTGTTTCCATGACGAAAAGAATCTCAAAATTAAAAAGACGGATGCAATAAACCCTCGGCCATTAACGTAGGAAACTTAGGTGCGAATTTACATCTCTGATATAGAAAACAATACCTATCTTAATTGCAGCAGCGCAGCTTAGGAAATAAAAACGGAAAAGCAATCAAAAGCTTCTACTTATTTACGCAAGGTTGGTTTGGAAACCATCGCATGAAAAGAAATTAAATTTGCGCGTTTAAACTCAGCTGCTATCTACCATGAGAACCAATGTTTCCAGATAGACCATCAACACTTATATTTACTTAAAAAACCATGTAATAAATGACAAAAGTGCCGACAAGCAGGTGCATGTGATGAAAGCGAGTAACAACAAAAATCTATTCAAAAGCTACTGTGGTTTTTATGCATTTTTTTGATTTTTTAAAATGAAAGGACTTGAAATGGTTAAATGTAAAAGTTTACGAATAAATATGCTCCGAATAACACACACGGGAAAATCAGTAAATTTTCCCGTAACATTCCGTCCAAAATGAAAACATCATGAGTTACCCAACACCGGGGTGATTCAAAGCTGGAGAAATCTAGAGACCCGCCTGCGATGAAGTGGGAGGCTTTGCCGACAGTCTTTTCCTCAGGAAATGTAAAATAACCGCATACATCTTATTCTAACCTATTTTACTCAAGACGATCCACATTAAACTATTTTCCCATGTTGGATTGAATACTCCACAATACGCCAGGAAGAAGGATTTAGTTGTTTCATTCAGAAATATGCGGGTCACATCTAACGCTACTAGGAAGTTATGTTCATTATAAGAAAGGTAATACTAAAACAAGACGATGAACTATCCCGACTACGATGATTCTTAAGTATGAGTACTTTCAAAACACCATCAAATCCGAGAGGTAGCCAGGGCCAAATCTCAGATTCCGTGGCATCCCACACATTACATAGAATCTTCATGTAAAACCAGTGCCAGTAGTGACTGGGGTGTGCTCTTAGACTAGTAAAGTATGCTGTGTTGGCCGACATCCAGCGATTACCGTCGTCATTCATATGAGCTGCGTTATGTACCCAAGAAAACAGTGTCGCTCTTAACAATTTCTTTTCTTTCGCTGTGAGTAGCTCTCTCTACCAACTAACCTTGTGCGCTTTTTTTTTCAGCTGAGACCGTCAGACTACTCAGCTTCTCTTTCACCTCTTTCACTTCGATCTCTATCTTGTCAATTGTGTCTCTCGTGTTATCCAGGGAACCTGAAAATTTTAAAAGGTATGCGCATTTTCATAAGCAAATTTATATCACAGCTTCACGTTAGGTGCAGATAAAACAATGATACGTATATCAACATCTAGTCGATTCCGAATAGATCAAACGCAATAAGACGCTTAGAAATCACAAAAATTCACTCGAGCAGTTGTACACGAGTACCTACGAACAGACAAAAATACTGCAAATGAAAACATAGTTTGAACATTTGGATTAATTCTTCATTTTACACACGTAACGCAAATATACCTTCCAAATATGAGACTAGTTCCGACCATGATGAAAACATCATGAGCTGACCTACACTACCGTGTTAACTGGAAAAATACACTTTTGTAGCCTTCTGATTCATCCACATTGGCAGTGGATAATGTTTTTCTTACTTTCAATTCCTTCAAGCCTGTCTTTGATGTTGTCGTCGTCTTTCTTCCATTGTTTCATCAGTTCACGATAATGCTCCTCCATATCTGGATCCATGCAGTCGTGCTCAAGATTGTCGATTTCAGTTCTAAAATGAGCTCCTCCCAATCTCACCAAAGCTTCTCGTATTTTCTGCCAATTAGCACTGAAACTACTGTCATCCACAGAGGCTTGAGAAGCATGGCCGTATACAGTGTTCCTGTAATACTTCACTCTGGCGATGTCATCTTCGATGCGTATGTCTGTAGCTGGGGGAAGCTCATCCCATCCCTTAGTAGGAGTGCGCAAACTACAGATATTTCTAAGCAGCACTGTTAGGAGTGTGATGTCGAAGTCTTTAGAAGACACAGCTTTGTGAGTAGGGTACAACTTTCCCCATTGCTTGGGATTCAGCACTTTCTTCTTCCCTTTGTACAGTGACTGCAATTTGGCATAATGCACTGAGGTACACCCCAAAACTGTATGTAGCGTCGCTGGTGGATGTATTTTGTCAAAAGTGGACCGGAGCACCTGACATCCAATATCCACCAGGAGGCGGCATAGCCTTGCATAGTTGGTTGTCTCTTTCGTAGACGCAAATGGCGATGGAGCCGTACCCATGAAGCTGAATTTATCAGAATGACCTGTCAAACATGGAATAGACACTAATTTATGGGAATTAAGACCATTTGGAAAAAAAAAAACCCGATAGCCAATTGAGACCAGAAATCGTTTAAAATCGTGATATCATTTGTTAAATCCTTAGGAGCACGAAACACCAACGAAAAAACTATTTTGTCGACTTAATAAGAGGTTTAATATGAGGTATTAGATCTCAACACAGTTTTTTTGGATTAAGAAAGATTTTTTTTTTAGTTTGCAAAGTAACAACCAGAGACATAAAGAGCAGAAATGAAACGCGATTTAAAGGTTAAGGGGAAATAAGTTTTTATTTCCCCTCGAGGGCCTTAAACCCGGTCAGTTCTGGCTGGTTGACGTTTGATTCTTAATCATCATCATCATCATCATTTTATTTGGTGATGCGGGTTACAAATTGGCAGCCAGGAAGGCTGATGTGAACCTACAAATCACTAAAATAATTAAATGATATATACTGTACTGCTAAAATAAAAAACCAATATAAAAAGAGAAACCTAATCCTAAAATTTAGGAGATAACTAATAAAATACCCTATTTCGCCTAAGAAGCATCTAATAATAAAAGTAATCACAGATCCACCAGCATTAATACAAAAGCTGCACCTGTTTTTACTACTTCATGCCGCATCACAAAGATCTAACCATTGCCAGCGTAACCATTATACCTAAACCTTAAAACCTCTTTAACTCCAAAACGATCCACAAGCAGACACAAATATATAAACTGCAGTGAAACATCAAAGCAAGACTGCACAACCTCCATTTACCACCCTGCAAGGATCACTGCTACAACTTGGTCACTTGAAGCATAATTGCAAAAGCATCACCATCACCATCCCAACAAGGACAAAAACTACATAATCACAAGCAAACTACACTGTGTTAGGAAAATTTTCATCAATATGGGAATCAGTCTGTTACCAGGTCAGTTAATAGAACCAACTCCGTGACTAGACCAGGATATACCAACACAACGAATACGGGAATTATATTACTTTAGGTCACCGTGTTTACAACAATTACTAAATAGCAGCCTACAGCAAGAAGGCACTATCTAGAAAGACTGGGGTATTAACCATCCCTTTCAGTGCAAAACTAAATGTAATTCCTCACATGTATATTACCCAACATAACACCAGGTCTCCCACTCAGCACCCACATTCCTGGATGGAGGAGCTTAAAGGGATTTGTAGATTTCCTACCCAATCGCTATTTCATTATCACACCTGGGGACATTAACAGCATTTTTAAAACTCCGTCAATTTATGGTTTCTCTACTTATTGATAATTAGACCAGTACAACCCTAGAAAACAGATTGCACAGTCACTGATATTAAATGCACCTTTTTAAGCCAAAACTAATTCTACCAGACGAAGGTAACTCTAATTGTCACCAATACAATACAGGGTCATTGAAGCTCATGTACCAGTAGAAAACGTGGTTTCTCAGTTCATTGAACAGTGAAACAATAACGTCTAAGTCAACAGACTTAAAAGTCTCTGTAATATTATCACCTTCATAAAAGAATGTGTCCACTGGCAAAAATGTGTAAGAGTACTATTCATTGGAGGGAGCGTGTCATGGAATACCGAACAAGCTCGACCTGATGATGATGATGATGATGATGATGATGACTATTCATTGACTCTTAATAGGCCAGTTGATACTATTTTGGGAAGTTATGTACGAACTGCATGAATTGGCAACTTTCTCCATAGTATTATCAGTGCAATGGCCTTTTAAAGTTGAAGTATTGCTTGTTTTAAGCTACATTCTGAAACATTGCATGTTATATTTTAATTTTTTATCTTTAGATATTATAAAAGAAGGTACTAACTCTAAATATGATATGTCTTTCAGTAAACTCAGTGTTCTCCCTTATTTTAAGCATGACAGGTAAAATAAATTTTCAAACCGGTTAAGCAATCCTTTTTCATGTTGAATTTCAAGAATTCCAAACAATTTTATACGGTAATTCCCAGCAAATAAATTATTAACCCTTTAACTCCCACATCAAATTTGTAATTCTCCTTACTCCCAACCATACAATTCTTATAAGGTTAGTTCAGAGAATTTAGTATTGAATCAACTAATTATCTCCAAATTTTTATTTTTATTTACTCTCATCATTTATCTGGTTGATATTGTGTTGATATTGTAAGGAGAAATTCTGTCTTGATCACACATGGCAATTAAAGGGTTAATACAGATTGACAAAGTGAAGGCAAGTTTCAAAAATGAGAAAAAAAAGAGCAGTGTTAGTCCTCCTACCTTGTATAGAGTTTCCTGGGTTCAAGAAAATAACCCTTGAATCAGGGATAAAGTCGGAAAGTCTGAAAAGGGAAGCAGCAGAACAACAGTTACTATGCATCAGTTATGAAAGACAATGACAGTCACAAATAAGGGCACTAACAGGTGCCCAAGGTTATAAGTGGTATTAATGGCAACATTTTATAATTAGAACAAAGTAATCTGTAAACCCTTTAATTGCCATGAGTGCAAGACATTTTATAATTAGAACAAAGATAATCTGTAAAGAAAAATATAAATTTTTAATTAATGTCAACTAACTATGCATTATATTAATTAACTATTTAATTATATTGTGATCAATGGTTGTAATTATGTTTGGCTACAAACATGTGTTTGAAAACATACTCTTAGAAAATTTTTTGCTGAAATTCTGGTGGTCCTTCTGATATACTGCTGGTTTAATTACTAAGTACAGCTAGGTTTGTGAAGTGCTTCAACTGTATGTTGACTTATGAACATTAACATTCGAGAGACTCAATTTTGGGTCACTGGTTAAGACTTATTAATTCATATAAAATCAAAGGTTAAGCTCCCCTCCTAAAACAGGAATATGGAAGATCTTGTGCAGAGATCTGGTTCCATCCTTGACAAAGTACTTATGGATTAGAAATTTTCACCCCATGCTTGCATGTCTTGGGAAATTAGTACATTTATGCAAAGTGTCTATCATAGGTTTTGCCAAGTTAAACCTAACTTAAGTCCTTCAAGGTACCCTTTGGCAATTAGTGGCTACCATGGTGATTTTGCATGAATTATTTTTTTCATGTGGAGAGGTTACTTTTGATGATGTTTGTAGCATGGATGTTGAAGCACAAAATCTAACCCAATGCTGGATGAATAATGAAGATCATGTAAACAATCCAACATGCTCAAGATATTCATAAATTGCCATTACATATAGCCATTGACAGCCAAAGCAATTGTTTAAAATTATATTTCATCGAATGGCAAGAGCAATCTATATGAGATGGTAAAAATAACCAAAACCATCATGACCTATTCTATTTTACAACTGCCTAAATAGTGAAATCTAAAATATTTCATATCTAGCCCAATCATGAATTTTTGGAATAAGGAGACCCTAAATTGTTTAAAAAATAGTAATCTGAAAGTTGACTTTGCGAGAAATGGCCAAGAGAGGCTGTTTATTTTTGTCCAATGAAAATTAAGTGTATGAAAATAGCTGGCACGCTGAAAGGTTTAAAGTGATTTAAGTAAGACACATGTATTCATTAAATCTGACCAGAAGAACTGAACTAACAGAACTCAACACAAAGAAGAACTTGTGGATAAGATTTTTCCAAAATGGGTGTACTTTGTAAATGAGAGCAAGTAACATTATTTTGTTATGGACATTTCATAATGTCCGTAACAAAAACAGTCCTTTTTTTTAATTTTCTCTGAAATTGAAAACCAGTTTTTTTTGGTCTGCTTGGCTCCTATTTTACTTTCTAGGGGCCCAAACTTGAGTGTTGTAAATTACCAAAATCCTGGAAAAGCGCAAGAAAAAATAAAGCCCACTTTATTTTATGATAATTATGTTGCATACATTACATTAAGAACATCACATTATAGACATATTATATTATGGACATTGTGACTGCATAACTTTAATTATGGTAATTCTTTTGGGAGAAATAAATGCTACATTGTGGCGTTGTTTATAGGAAGAACAAGACACACACAGGTGAAGTAACACAAGTCTATTTAATCGATGTCCGACGAACTCTACAAAACCGGAAAGCATGGTCTCTAAAGTTTTGTTGCCATGGTAGTTATGACGTAAATGCGGACCGGAAGTAAATAGAACGATAACATCGATATCGTTACATCTCCCTTTCTTCAGGAAACAAAAAAAAATGTAAACGTAACTGAGTGTCTCAATCCTAGTTTAAAATAAACTACAGAAAAAAAAAGAAAATTAAGAGTTTGTCATGTCCTTTTTTTGTGTTCTTTCGATAACCCCAATCACTGGTAACGTGTGGGTGGTCGCACAATTCGTCCAGATCGAGTGGTGGTCACCGATGGGGAAATCTCCTGCTTATCTGCTGCAGACTGAGGTGGATATTCCGGATGTGGCTTGTCCGTGTTCTGCAAAGGTACTGTGTCTGATTGGTCCTTACTGACTGCAGTACTTGGTATGGAAGGTGGTACCGATGGTATTTCATTACCAGAATTTGCAGTAGCAGAAATTGGTGTTGCTTTTGGGGATAATCTCATCCCATCTTCACTGTGTGGCATCACTTCACGTGTATGTCTCAGGTGTCTGCGGTTCCTCCTATAAATTCTTCCATCTTCTGTTCTGACTTGATAGGACCTTATGTCGACTTTGCCTTCGACTCTTGCTTGGGTCCAATCCTTCTTCTTTCCCAAGTGGGATTTTAGTGGCTGCAATCGCACTGTGTCTCCTGGGCGCAGTTCCTTCAGTTCTTTGGCGCCTTGATTGTAGTACAGGGATTGTTTAGCCTTTTGTAGCTTCAACTTCTGATCAACCTCCTCTGGTAGCTTCGGCTTGAGCAATTGGTTTGAGGTTGGGAGTGGAGTCTTTGTTCTTCTACCGAATAATCGCTGAACAGGTGACGAGTTGAGTGTTTCTGTGGGAGTATTTCTCCAGTCCAGCAGGGCAAGATATGGGTCTTGTTCGGACTTGACGGCTTTTTCTAGCAGATGTTTTGCTGTCTTCACCGTGTTCTCGACTTTGCCGTTGGACTGAGGATATGTTGGAGAGCTTGTTCAAAACCATAAGTGTCTGCGAACTGTTGGAACTTTGCGGAAGAAAAGGGCTGTCCATTATCCGATACAAGCTGGTCGGGAATTCCATGGCGGGCAAGATGGGCTTTCAACTTCTTCACAACTTCGTCTGCTGTCTTGCTTGTCATTCTGTCGACTTCAAAGAAGCTTGAATAGTAGTCAACGGTCACCATGAAATCTACACCGTTCAGATCAAAAAGATCAACTGCGATTTTCTCCCAGGGTCTACTAGGCAGTTCGTGACAAATCATTGGCTCTTTTCCTTGCTCGACAGGCTGGCTGTTGCAGACGGCACACTTTGCTACATAATCTTCGACATCTTTGTTCATCCCATGCCAGTAGACTACTTCTCTTGCTCTTCTGAGACAGCCTTGGATGCCGATGTGGCTCCGGTGGATCTTAGCCAACATGTCAGCTTTCACGCTCATAGGGATAACTAGTCTTTCACCTTTGAACACCAGTCCATTCTGTAAAGACAGTTCGTCCCGAAATGTAAAGTAACCACTGATGTTTGCTGATACCCCAGCTTTGGTAGCTGGCCAACCTTGCCTGATTGTTCTCTTCAGCTCTCTCAGGGTAGGATCGGATTCTGTTGCTTGCTGAATGGCAATCAGCGTTGGTTCCGATACTGGCAAGTATTGTATCATATTGATGTGCTCTAGCTCTCTTTCAGTGTCTCCTCTCATGTCCTCTATGTACATAACATCTTCTGCTACATCTTCTTTTGTGCTCTTACGCACTCTGTATGCTCTGCTCAGTGTATCTGCCAGATACATTTCAGTCCCTTTTTTGTAAGACACTTGAAGGTCAAACTTCTGCAATCTTAGCAACATTCGCTGGAGACGTTTAGGCGCACTGAGTAGACTTTTACGGAAGATGCTCTCCAAGGGTTTGTGGTCAGTTTGGATCTTGACAGGTCGACCATATACAAACTGCTCAAAACGTTCTACTCCGAAAAGTATTGCAAGCATCTCTTTCTCTATCTGGGCATAGTTCACTTCCGTTTCTGTCATGGAACGAGATACATAAACCACGGGCTGGCCTCCTTGCATTAGACATGCACCAAGTCCTCGGTCTGATGCATCACACTGCAATTCCACGTCGTCTTTGGGGTTAAAATACTTGAGGACAGGGGCAGCTGAGAGTATCTCCTTAACTCTTTGAAACTACAACCTTGTACTTGCTCATCCCAACGGAACTGGTTCCCTTCTTTCAAAAGGTCTCTCATTGGGGATGTAACTTCTGACAGGTTAGGAGCAAACTTCTGGAGGTAATTTACCATGCCGAGAAGTCTCTTGAGATCTTGTTTGCTTGTCGGGGTTGGCATCTCTTTGATACCTTGTACCTTGTCTGGGTCAGGCTTAAGACCATCTTGACATATAACATGTCCCATAAACTTCACTTCTTTGCGACGGAGCTTAAGCTTCTCTTTGTTTAACTTAATGCCAGTGGCGCGGCAGCGTTCTAACAATGCTGTCAGCTTTGCATCATGATCAGAAAGTGCTTCTGTTTCTGTTTCTCCGACACCAAAAACAAGGATATCATCAAATATTGGCTTAATTCCATCAAGACCTTCCAGGGCGTATTCCAATCTCCTCTGAAACTCTTCCGGAGCGGGTGATATGCCGAAGGGCATCCGCGTCCAGCGGAACCTTCCCCAGGGGGTACCAAATGTGGTCAGAAGACTGCTTTCATCGTCTAGCTGCACATGCCAAAACCCGTTCTTTGCGTCGACGACACTGAAGACTTTAGCATTTGTAAGGAGTGGTAGTAGATCGTCGATCACTGGAAGGGGAAAATGGTTTCTCCTGAGTGCTTTATTCAGAGGTTTTGGGTCAATACATAACCTTATCTTTCCATTGCTCTTCTTAATGACCACCATTGAGGAAATCCAATCTGTTGGAACATCTACTGGTTGCAAGATGCCTATCTTAACTAAGCGTTCTAGTTCCTGTTTTAAAGGCTCTTTTTACTGCAAAGGGACTTTCCTCACTGGCAGTGCCACAGGGGTTACAGACTTATCAATCTCGAGGTGAAGCTTTCCTTTGAGCTTTCCTTCTCCTGAGAAGACATCTCCGAATTTGCTCACGAGATCCGGCTGTGTGGGAATCTCATTAGAGAGAGACATGATGTTATCGGTGTTAATCACTATGAGGCCAAACTGCTGCACCGATTCAGCACCAAGGAGTGCTGTGTGACCTGTTGGAACGACGGTGTATTCCGTGAGGAAACACTGTCCATTCTTGGGGTTGAAGGTCTCGACCTTAGTACATCCTAGAGGTTTCAGCTCTGATTTGTTGAACATGACGAGGGTAGTTTGAGTAGGCTGGAGGCGTTCCATTCGCGGATCGTTAAATACCTGCTGATAAATATCTGCTGGGAGGATATTGACTGTTGCTCCACAGTCTAACTGGAATTTCACTGTTTCATCCCTCAAGCGCATGTTAGCATAAATCTTCTTTGGACTGTTTTTTGCATAAAGGACGCTCACAGATTCTACACTGAATAAGTAATCATCAGAATCTTCGTCATTAAACTCCTGAACATCTTGTTCTACATTGTGAACTGACTTCTTAGTTTGCTTTTTTTTAGCTTTCTGACTTCTGCAAGCCACTGAGAAGTGGTTCATTCGACCACAGTTATCACACTTGTGCTGCCATGCTGGACAGAGTTCCTTTTTTAAAGGATGGGTTCTGTGGCAGAACTTACATCTAACTGGTTCTGTTACTTTGTTGTGGACGGGGCGTTGAACTTTACTGAAATTTCGTACTTCATTATGGCGTAAACCAATCTTCGATTTTGGGTGGCCTGTGGCAACGGCGCTAACCTCCTCCGCATGGGACATCTCCTTAAGTTGTTTGGATGTGGTTTCACTCGCACGGCAAATATCAATACACTTATTAAGAGTTAGTTTGTTCTCAGCTAGCAGCTTTTTTCGGGTGGCGTTATCTCTAATTCCTACGACAACTCTGTCTCTAATCATTCGCTCTTGCATGATGCCAAAATTGCACGTTTTAGCTAACGAACGTAAAGCTGTAAGGAAAACATCAAATGACTCACCGACCTCCTGTACTCTCTGATTGAACAGATAGGCTTCGTATATTTCATTCGTCTCACCGATGAAAAAGGCGTCTAGAAGCTCTATCACTTTGTCGATGTCGGTTTTCCTCTTCATTTCCGAAGGGCAAACCATCGTAAATCTCCAGGATATCTGGGCCAATACATGTCAACAATGTGGCTGTTCGAAGATTACTGATTTGCGTACTGAGCCGTGAGGCGATCTCGTAGTTTGTCCACAGCCGCTTAAATTTCTTCCAATTCACAGCTAAGTTCCCCTTGAAGTCTAGTTTCGACGGTAAAGGAATAGAGGACTGGATAAATTGAGGAGTTGCTGGCTGCGTGCTTGTTGACGCTACGCTCGACGAGCCTGATTCGGTCATCTGGAGCTAGATTCACTGAGTTTGGCTTGAAAATGCACTCAAGTATTTCAGCGACGATTCTGTAGGAAGAATCCCACTCCTGACACCATGTGGCGTTGTTTATAGGAAGAACAAGACACACACAGGTGAAGTAACACAAGTCTATTTAATCGATGTCCGACGAACTCTACAAAACCGGAAAGCATGGTCTCTAAAGTTTTGTTGCCATGGTAGTTATGACGTAAATGCGGACCGGAAGTAAATAGAACGATAACATCGATATCGTTACATACATGCATACCAATTTTGTTCAAATTTATCACATCCAAGTTTTAGTGTTTTTGACTAAACACTAACAACAATAACCATAACAACAACTGTACATTAGCAGTAGCAACACCACACTGACATGAGGAGTATAAATTTTCAAAAAGTTCGAGTCTGAGTGTGAATTAAGTTTGCTGATAGACATATCATATTTAAAGTCAGTACCTTCTTTTATAATATCTTAAGATAAAAAATTAAAATATAGCATGCAATGTTTCAGAAATGAAGCTTAAAACAAGCAATACTTCAACTTTCAAAGGCCATTGCACTGATAATTTTTTTGAGAAAGTTGTCAATTCATACAGTTCAGTGCAGTGTAACTTTCCAAAATAGTATCAACTGGCTTATTAACAGTCAACGAAGTACTCTTACAAAAAGTTCAGAACAATCTAAGTTTAGTAATTAAAGCAGTGTTTAACTACTGCAATCTGCAGTTAGTTTGATCATTTATTTGCATAATTATCGTCATAGTAGCAAATTTACATTATCAATTAACTCAGCTGATAATATGAAATTACTTCATGATTGGGCTAGATATGAAATATTTTAGATTTCACTATTTAGGCAGTTGTAAAATAGAATAGGTCATGATGGTTTTGGTTATTTTTACCATCTCATATAGATTGCTCTTGCCATTCGATGAAATATAATTTTAAACAATTGCTTTGGACATTACACAATGTTTGTTACAGACATTACACTGTGGAACTTTTTTTTTTTACACTCACTGGTAAGAATAAGGAATAGTTATGTTTATCTAAGAGCTTTTTATAATTGACTTTGTCAGAACTGATAAATTTATCTTAATCAGGCCCAATTACAAGTTAACCCTTTAACTCCCAGAGGTGATTAATGTAAAACTTCTCCTACAAATCCATACATTATTCAGGAAACAGGTGATGAGAATATTCAAACTTATCAGGTAGAAGCTGCTATCTTCATCTAGCACCAAGTTCTCATAACTAATTTACAAGGAAATGTGTAGCAGCTAGAGGGGAGAATTAACAATTAGATCTTGGGAGTTAAAGTTAATTCTCTTTTCTGGTTGTGCTGATAACCAAACCATTAATATCACACTTGGGTGTACATGTAACTGTGGTAGGTGGAGTATCCCATATGGAGCATGCTTCTTACAATTCCATTTTATTGAGCATGCTCTAACTGGTATTTCTGCTGTCTTTTGGTTCTTGCTTTCTGAGATGCAGTACAGGTTTCTAGTGTGACAACAAGTTTTACATTGGAAGAGCCCTTAGGGTCACTGATAATGAGGTTGAAATCAAATTTCTTCACCAAGTTTAGAAAACATTTAACTGGCCTCTGAGGAGCAATATTGATATTGTCCACAAGAGAAGAGTCTACTGTGGCTCCAAAGAGCTGAAAGGCACTGGACCTTTCAATATTCCAGGTCTTTCATATATTAAGAGGATTTTTAAATATCTTTGAAAATAAAATGTTTGCAAATAAATGATCAAATTAACTGCAGATTGCAGAAGTTTAACACTACTTTAATAACTAAACTTAGATTGTTCTGATCTTTTTGTAAGAGTACTATTCATTGACTCTTAGTAAGCCAGTTGCACTTGCTCTCATTTACAAAGTACATCCATTTTGGAAAAAATCCTATCTGCAAGTTCTTCTATGTGTTGAGTTCTGTTAGTTTTGTTGTTCAGGTGAGACTTAAGGAATACATTGTGTCTTACTGAAATCATTTTAAACCTTTCAGCGTACCAGCTATTTTCATACACTTTTCATTAGACAAAAATAAACAGCCTTTCTTGGCCATTTCCCGCAAAGTCATCTTTCAGATTACTATTTTTTAAACAATTTAGGGTCTCCTAATCCACAACATTTTGGATTGTTTACATGATCTTTGTGATTCGTCCAGCATTGGGTCAGATTTTGTGCTTCGACATGCTACAAACATGTCTCGACATAACATTACCAGAAAAAATAATTGATACTACATGGATATGAGTGAAATAAAAGCATGCATAATTCTAAACATATGCAAACAGGACAAAATTATTCCCTGCAAATAAATTATTAAGTAAACCCTTTAACTCTCACATCAAATCCTTACTCCAAACCATACAATTCTTATAAGGTTAGTTCAGAGAATTTACAGTAATATTGGATCAACTAATCATCCCCAAATTTATACATTTCTTTACTCTCATCACTTCTCTGGTTGATATTGTGTTGATATTGTAAGGAGAAATTCTGTCTTGGTCACTCATGGCAATTAAAGGGTTAATACAGATTGACAAAATGAAGGCAAGTTTCAAAAATGAGAGAAAAAAAGAGCAGCAAGTCCTCCTACCTTGTATAGAGTTTCCTGGGTTCAAGAAAATAACCCTTGAATCAGGGATAAAGTCAGAAAGTCTGAAAAGACAAGCAGCAGAACAACAGTTACTATATATCAGTTATGAAAGACAATGATGGTCACAAATAAGGGCACTAACAGGTGCCCCAAGGTTATAAGTGGTATTAACGGCAACATTATATAATTGTATCAAAGTACTTTCTTATTGTCAGCTGAGTTGATAAATAAATGTAAATTTGCCTCTGCAATGAGGTTAAAAGCTGACAATTTGTTTGCTCTGACAAAGGGCTAAAACTCAAAATGTCATCTTTTTAAACCTTATCAACTCAACTGATAATACTAAATTATCCTGGTATACTCTCCCACCAAGGCAGTACCACAGTTCCCTTAGAAACTTATACCCCCTTTATTCCTTTATAATTATCAAAAGTCAACTAGAATTAAAAACAACAACAAACAACAACAACAACAAAAACAACAACAAAAACCTCCATGATTCACAAAGGCTGACCAAATGTGACCCTCCATATGATTTCAGGGACAAAGATGAGAACACACACACAACACATCAACACATCGTGCAGATTGCATAACTTTAAAATCTAGTTGTATTCCTTATTCTGTATTTAGATTTTGTGTTTGAGGTAAAAACTTCCTGTTATGGACATTACACAATTTTTTGTTACGGACATTACGCTGTGGAACTTTTTTCTTACACTGGTAAGAATAAGGGAATATTTTTATTTATTTAATATGAACTTTTGATAATTGACTTTGTCAGAACTGATAAATTTATCCTAATCAGGCTCAATTACAAGTTAATTCTCTTTTTTGGTTCAGCTGATAATCATAACATCAATACTAAACTTAGGTGTACATGTAATAGTGGTATCTAGTATTCCATAAAGAGCATGCTCCTTACGATTCAGTTTTAATGAGCATGCTCTAACTAGTGTTTCTGCTGTCTTTTGGTTCTTGCTTTCTGGTGCAGATTTCTAGTGTGACACCAAGTTTTACATTGGAAGAGCCCTTAGGGTTACTGATAATGAGGTTGAAATCAAATTTCTTCACCAAGTTGTCAAAACATTTAACTGGCCTCTGAGAAGCAATATTGATATTGTCCACAAGAGAAGAGTCTTCTATGACTCCAAAGAGCCGAAAGGCACTGGATGTTTCCATGTTCCAAGTCTTTCATATCTCAAGAGGCTTTTTAAATATCTTCAAAAAGAAAATGTTTTCAAATAAATAATCAAACTAGCTGCAGATTGCAGTAGTTAAACACTGCTTTAATTACAAAACTTGGATTGTTCTGAACTTTTTGTAAGAGTACTATTCATTGACTCTTAATAAGCCAGTTGATACTATTTTGGAAAGTTACACTGCACTGAACTGTATGAAATGACAACTTTCTCTATAGTATTATTAGTGCAATGGCCTTTGAAAGTTGAAGTATTGCTTGTTTTAAGCTACATTTCTGAAACATTGCATGTTATATTTTAATTTGTTATCTTCAGATATTATAAAAGAAGGTGCTGACTCTAAATATACATGTATGTCTCAAAAAACTTTATTCACACTTGGACTCACACTTTTTGAAAATTTATACTCCTCATGTCAGCGTGGTGTTACTTCTCCTAATCAATGTACAGTTGTTGTTATCGTTATTGTTAATGGTGTTTAGTTAAAAGCACTGAAAACTTGGATGTGATAAATTTGAACAAATTGGTATGCATGTAGCATTTATTTCTCCAAAGAGAATTACCATAATTAAAGTCATGCAGTCATAATGTCCATAACATAATATGTCTATAATGTGATGTCTGTAATCTAATGTCTTTAATATGATTTCCATTACATGAAGTGGGCTTTATGTTTTCGTGTGTTTTCCAGGATTTCGATAATTTACAACACTCAAGTTTAGGCCCCTAAAAAGTAGACAAGGAGCCAGGCTGACAAAAAAAAAAAGGTTTATAATTTCAGAGAAAACAAAAAAAGAGGACTGGTTTTATTATGGACATTATGTAATATCCATAACAAAATAATGTTACTTGCTCTCATTTACACATACAAAGTACACCCATTTTGGAAAAAAGTTGAGTTCTGTTAGTTTTGTTCCACTGGTGAGATTTAATGAATACATGTGTCTTACTTAAATCATTTTAAACCTTTCAGCGTGCCAGCCATTTTCACACACTTTTCATTGGACAAAAATAAACAGCCTCTCTTAGCCATTTTCCACAAAGTCAACTTTCAGATTACTATTTTTTAAACAATTAAGGGTCTCCTTAATCTAAAAATCCATGATTGGGCTAGATATGAAATATTTTAAATTTCATCATTTAAGCAGTTGTAAAATGTTATGGGCCATGATGATTTTCATTATTTTTACCATCCCCTAAAAATCCCTCTGGCCATCCAATGAAATATACTTTTACACAAACATTTTGGCTGTATATAACTGTGATTAATGAATATCTTGAACATAATGGATTGTTTACATGTAATTGTCACAATTCATCCAGCACTGAGTTAGATTTTGTGCTTCAATATGCTACAAACATCATCACAAGTAACCTGCACATGAAAAAAGTAATTGAAGTTTCTGCTTTAAATCCTGATGCAACTCATACACAGCCAAATGTTCCAACTTTGTTTTTGCTAATCAGGAAGTTGATAATTATAAACATGGATGTTTTCAAGTAGAAGCGTGTTGTGAGCTTAAGCTTGCTACAACCTTTCTCCCAAAAATCATATGGATGGTCACAAATACAGAACCTTGCATAAGAGCAAGCAGTTGCATCCTATACTGGTCATTACACCTGTAACAACCAAAGCAACTTTCTAATCATTAGATGCATTTCAGCTGCAAGGTCCAACATAATAAGACATGATGTCAAACACTATTGAAGGATGACAACATTTGATTTATACTCCTGAGCGTAAATTCAAAGGATCGAACTACTGGTTAAAGATTGATGCAAATTTAATTAGTGGCCTATCTTGCTACTTTAACATTATATTTCATATTCAGAGCAAACTGATATTCATGAAAAAAAGAGAATAGCCCATAACAACATAAACATTTTTCATTCCCATGAGAATAAGACACAAAAAATCCTTACTTAAAAAAAAACATATATACCTACCTTGTTAAGATTTCCTGCCTTCAAAAAATCACAATATGAGCAGTCAGAAAATGATGGACATGTAATAATTTCTGAAAAAGAAAAACATAAAATAAATATTAATCAAATGTGAGAGATATTGACAGTCACAAAAATTCCATTTAAGGTGCTATATTTATTCCTTTAACTCCCATGAGTGACCAAGACCAAATTTCTCCTTACAATATAGATACATTATCAACCAAATGAGTGACAAGAATTAAGAAAAATATCAATTTGGGGATAATTAGTTGATCCAATACTAAATCCTCTGAACTAACATTATAAGAATTGTATAACTGACAGTAAGGAGAATTACAAATTGGATCTGGGAGTTAAAGGGTTAAGGCAATAATTGTTGCTATTGAAAAGTGTAATGAACTGAAGAAAGCTTTAGGACAATCTGAAAGACATAGATGACATAAGGCTGTTTCACCCGATCATGCTGAAAAGGGGTTGTTCGAAAATAATTGCACCCAAGAGGAATCCTATAATGGTAAAACCTTCAGATATTTCAATTCATGGGTACTGCATGTGTTTGCTATTTTTAGAACACAGCAGGTTGAACTGGGAACTGAGGAAATTTAATTTGTAAATATGTCATTCAACAAATTGCCGAGGAAACTTCAATAGTTTTTGGGAAACTTAGCTTTGAATTGGCTGTTGCATAATTTAACATCTGCAGACTATTCAGTGGTTCCTGTTACTGGTAAAGTAAAGCTATATGCTAAGGCACAAAGAAAGATTGCTTTGGGATTACAGTTCAAATGCTCAATAACCTCTTCAGTGCACACTGAACCTCAATCGCCATTTTCTTTCCATCCCACCCTCCTCAATGGTTATTTGTTATGGAAATATTCCCTATCTTTTGGGTTTTCTGTATAAGAAAGCCTCTCTGTTAACATTATGTTTTAGCACTATTAGATTTATCAGCTTACATGCACCAAATAAGAGTCACATTTTGTGGAAAATAAGTTAATCATATAAAGACTGCATGATTTGTCCCAAACATTACTTGTGGTCAAATGTCCTATGGTTTATCGATCAGATTGAATTGAAAGGCACAATAATTTTGTTGAAAAAAATATCATCGATAAATAATGCCTAACTCGAGTTCTCGGAAAACATGTCATTGAATTAGAGAAGGCAAGTCATTCTCTGGCACCGAAAAACGAACTGTGAGTAAAGGCTTTCGCTTTCTCGAAAATAGCAACTTCCGCCTAGACTGATACGTATTGCGTGTTCCAATCTTCACTAAAGCATTTCCCTGTCCCTTTAGTCTAGATCAGAAACGACTGCTGGAAGTAAAACAGCTGGTCTGAGTTCAAAACAGACCCTGACTAAAGTATGAAATTCAAATAAAGTGACTTTTTAGTACGCATCAATTCATAATTCATGAATCTACTTACATCTCAGAATGGTGATTTAAACGAAATAATTACACCCGGGGTATGTGAAGAGGCTACGCAATCGTCCTGAAAAGAGAAAAAAAGTAGCTTATGTATCAAGTATATCTTCACCATACGCTTATTTCCAAAGGATTGTGTTAAAATTTTCGTAATCATACGCATTTACGCGAGTGAAATACCGTAAGTCAACAACGGGTTATTGAAGTTTAAGTTAAAGTTACGGAGTGAATAACTTTACTATGTTGTCTGTACCTGCTCTTTCTTCGGGTCAACTCTTCTCATGGACAGTAATGTGAGTTAAACCGATTCGTTTCCTTGTTTCCTGATCTTCCGTCGAGAGAACGAAGAAAGTCATAAAAGGTAGGTATTCCAACAGACTCAAGGAAGGGTGATGTTATATCGAAGGCGTTCGTCGAGGGTCGAACACACAAGTTTATAGTACAGCGGTTAAATAAAAAATATGTCATGTAAGCTTCAGCACTTGTTCCCCACGAAAAATTAAAAAAAGAATTGTTCAAGATCGTTCTGAACAAAGGAACTATGAGCTCCTGCGGCAGTTTCTTGATTTTGTTTGAATATTTTGTGGTTGTCATAAAATAACCACTGAGATATATTTCTTTTGAACAATTTTCATGGGATTTTTACCTGTAAGATAAATGCGAGTTTAAATTATTTTTTTATAACGGGCACATAAAATAGCATGACACCTACCGTTAGTATTTTCTTCCGGTATCAATCATTAGGAGAAGAAGAAATATTACTAAATGCGCGATCGCGTAGTTTATAGCGATTCCCAAAATCCTAGATTCATGAAAACAAGCCATCAAACTATACTTCTCTGTTTTTGTTTAATCACATGTGGCTCAGATCAAGATATACAAAAACTAATAAAAATGTTTTCAGTATGTTTGAGCTATTTACTAGGTTATCAATGCGCTAATAAGCCTAACAGTAACGTTTGAATTTTAGACGGTAATGTCGTCTCTTAAAAAGTAAATTATGAGAGAAATTCTCCTTGCAGCGTTGAGTCCATTGAGAGAAGTTCAATGTTTTTTACTTACGTAATACGAAAAATTTGTCAACACTGAAACGTTAGATAATTTGTGAAATAACGAACGGGAATTTCAAGAATTGTACACACCCTACGTTTATGGGGAATTCTGAAGTAAATGGATGTAAATGACCTTCCCGATTTTGTTTCCTCAGTATGCGAAAAGCTCGATGGATTCCTCCACTAAAATACCAAGAAAAGTTATAACATTTTCGCGGGCTATGCAAAAATCGAATACTACTGGTACTTTTCATTATATTTCAAACTCTTTTTCAAAAGGAATTCTCACCTTTGTTGGTCCGTGGAGGCAATGCTGAGTTTCAATGCTTACGATGGTAAACGGTTTGCCAAAAAATTGGATCGGTGCATTACCACCATTGTGTTCAAAGACGGGAGACGCTGCAAATGTATAATTTGAAAAAGTATTTCGGTATACTAGATTACGCACTTAGAGTGATTTCCAAGGGCTTTCCTATATATGAAATACTTTTAAATATTTCAACACTTTCACGCCCGGAGCATTGCGTAAGTTTTTACAAAATTGCGGCCAAAGATCAAGTCTCTACGAGGCCCACACCGAATTGATAAAGGCAAACAAATCAGCTAAAAATAAAAGAACCTGGCTACCATTTTTCGAAAACTTCTTGTGATTTTATTCCTTTGAGTGCAAGGCCTTCTTTACAAAGCATGTGGAACTAATAAGAAGAAATCTCTCGAGCGTATCCTCGAACTCGTCTCTTTTCCCGTCGAAATAACCGAAGAAGTACTGGTTTTCAAAAGAAAAATTTTTAAGGTTTTCCTCAAGGAAGTCAATCTCCGATTTATTTAAAGAAGAATGATTAGTCACCGCCATCATTACGCATTTTGCATTCTAGTGTTTTAATCAAAAATTGTCTTCTGTTTTTAGATGTCATCCTTTCGCGGGCTTTCGCAATATTCGCGGGTTTCATAATGTCCTCGCTGACCAAAATTACCGTGTACTCGTACCCTCGACGAATGCCTTCGATATAGCGTCACCCCTCAGAGAAGGGAGTTGTTAATGACATGCGCAGATAACATTATTCGCAAATGAAATATAACACCTAAAATCGAGTAACACTTTCACGCAATGAAACTAGCTTTCCAATGCGTTTCTCGGCCTCCGGAAGAAAGATCGTTCAAAAAAATTGCAACGGCATTCTTTTAAAGTTCACATGAGAAATGAGCAACCTTTTTTTTCTCCTAAAGCTGGAGACGAGTTTTCGTTAGAGCTGCTTCTACACAACAACGCGTGATTCACTTCATACCACCTCTTACTACAGGTCACGCAACTTAGCAAGACACGCACGGAAGATTTCAAATCGCATTTTATTGCCAAAAACTATCGACGAGTGAAGCGTTCGTCTTCCCCCCCCTTTAAAAACACGGCCAGAAACTATTAACTTCAACGCTCGTAGTTGCCACTTAATCCAGATCAAAACCTCCCTCCTTCTGATTACTAATTGTTGGAGTCTGATCAGCAAAGCTAAACTGTAAACCAAGCCTTTGAGTCTGTTCCTTTGCCGTCTTCATCATCGACCCGTCCAAAGACTAGCTAGGCGAGAAGGACTGACCTAGATGGACCCGATCAGAATATTGTACGCAATCAACATATGGACAGAGAGTCGGATGGTCCTGCAGGGATTAAAGAAAGGAATTTTGCGACTGATTTTAAGTTACAGAATAAATGCTCTCAAATATATTTTTAAGCTGACGCCTACAAGGGAAAAGCATAAAGTTTTCAAAATAATTACTTCATAAAGCTCTACTAAAGAGTTATTGACCCTATTCCTATGACTTGCAATTTATCTGTGCAAGCTCAAATAGTGAAGATAAAATCTGAATTGAACCCTGAGTCAAACACACAGAAAGACTAGCTTCATTTTGTAAGGTGCCGCTCATTTTTTATCGCCTATGGGGGGGCTGGAGGATTTTGGTTGCGTCACGACTTAATTTACCTGCTTCCCCCATAATATACTTATGATTTCTCATTGACAGTCAATTGGCGGCAATTTTCTATAGTCCCCCTTAAAACTCTGTTAGCGGCAACTGATCAGCCTCCGTTCATTGAAAACCATGTAAACCCCATCCATCATCCCCCCCCCCCTCAAAAAAAGGGAAAAAAAAAAAAAAAAGGAAGATTAATCGTCCCTCCCCCGGTGATAAATAAAGTGTTTGGTCTCTGAAACTCTTCACATAATTCAATTTTGTGAGTCTTTGTAAAAATGTACTCGTGCTTATTTATTCCAAATTGAACTCGAAATCATGTGATTACCTCTACAAATTCAAATTGGTTAGTGTCTAGTTGACTTTGATTTCCTCAGCAATAGATGTAGCGCTGGCTTCACTCATACCATTGTCAGACAGATCCAAACTGGTTAGCGTCTTGTTGATACCCCTGCTACTCAAATTTAAATTGGTTAGCGTCTTGTTGACTTTGATTGCCTCAGCAATAGATGTAGCGCCGGCTTCGCTCATACCACTGTCAGACAAATCCAAATTGGTTAGTATCTTGTTGCCTTTGATGGCCTCAGCAATAGATGTAGCGCCGGCTTCACTCATACCATTGTAATACAAATTCAAATCGGTCAGATTCAAACAAGTTTTAAAAGACTTTGCTGACCGTGATTGAAAATCACTCTTTTGTCTTTCACATTCGTTAATGGCCTCCAATACAGCCTTTAAACCACTGCCTTCATTTTCGTTGACTTCGTTTGTTAAACTCTGTACAAAATCGACGACTTGTTCATCGCATTTCATGGCTAAAATTCCGCACGAAAACAAAAGTACCTCTTCAAGTTTAACAAAATACCTTGGATCGGAAACTAGTTCGTCAGGTCTAATTTCTTTGCTTTGAACCTGAGCAGAAAAGAAGAAGGCTGCAAAGAATTCTTGAAAACTTTTATGCAAGAAATTCAAATTCAGTCAAGTCTTTGGCATGGTTTCCCAATTCACTTTCATTCAAATCCAATTTGTCGTTGAGTAAACCATTCAACGCTACTAACCCGAAGCGATTCAATTGCGGTTTGTAAAGATCTGTCAGTTCTTCTTCCGTTTCTAATAGCCCCTTCTTTTTTCTATAACTTCTCAAGACACATTCAACCATATCCAAGTACAGTTGAGCTAAATCGTGCCTTTTTTTAAAGTACTTGGTGACAAATCCTCTCACATGGTCTTCAATGAATCCTTCGATCTGAAGCAGCGTGTCACAGCATTTTCTCACCTCTTTCCCAGCTTCTTATCTTGCTGTTGCAACTATGTGGCATCTGGGGAGCAATCTTTCTTCAATTAATTCGGTAAAAATCGACAATTTACTGGATAGTTACTCATCCAATCCATCCAATATCAATAAAATGATATTTTTGTTTTGACTTCTTTATTGATTTTTTGGGGCAGAAGCTGGTCATCAATGGCTTCCCAAACATCAGAATGCGTTTCTTGACATTTCAGCAACAATACTGCTTTGAATGCTGTGGAGCCGCAGCCCTGAGGTGCTTGCCTTTTGGTGGCCCAGTCGTAGGCGTGCTTTTTAAAATAGGTGGTTTTCCCTATACCAGGTTCTCAGTCAAGTCTTTGGCATGGTTTCCCAATTCACTTTCATTCAAATCCAATTTGTCGTTGAGTAAACCATTCAACGCTACTAACCCGAAGCGATTCAATTGCGGTTTGTAAAGATCTGTCAGTTCTTCTTCCGTTTCTAATAGCCCCTTCTTTTTTCTATAACTTCTCAAGACACATTCAACCATATCCAAGTACAGTTGAGCTAAATCGTGCCTTTTTTTTAAAGTACTTGGTGACAAATCCTCTCACATGGTCTTCAATGAATCCTTCGATCTGAAGCAGCGTGTCACAGCATTTTCTCACCTCTTTCCCAGCTTCTTATCTTGCTGTTGCAACTATGTGGCATCTGGGGAGCAATCTTTCTTCAATTAATTCGGTAAAAATCGACAATTTACTGGATAGTTACTCATCCAATCCATCCAATATCAATAAAATGATATTTTTGTTTTGACTTCTTTATCGATTTTTTGGGGCAGAAGCTGGTCATCAATGGCTTCCCAAACATCAGAATGCGTTTCTTGACATTTCAGCAACAATACTGCTTTGAATGCTGTGGAGCCGCAGCCCTGAGGTGCTTGCCTTTTGGTGGCCCAGTCGTAGGCGTACTTTTTACAATAGGTGGTTTTCCCTATACCAGGTTCTCCTTCAATCAACACTGTTCTCGGCCGGCGCTGAACACTCTTCATACGGGTCTGGTATTGATGACATGTCAACAAATACGTCAGTGATTTCTCCTCTCGTTTTCTTTCTTCTGACCACTTTGAGCCTTGTAAAAATATTGCCAAGAAAAAACTGAAACTCTTCACACCATGGAAATGGTGAGAGCCATCCCTCGCGAGTCTTGTACAGCTGGCGAATTCCATTGATAAGCTCAGTTGGATCAAAAATACCTACCAGTCGTAAAATGAGTAAGAAATCTAATGAATGCAGCATTACGAGTAAGAATCACATATCAGTAATCATATGCTTGCAATATGCAGGAAGTTTACCTTCGTGGACATAGTTAATCTGGCTGGCTTGCTACAATTTTACTGTATCTAAGCGTTAGAGTGTCCGAAGTAATGAACGGAAGGTGGTAGGTTTGAATCCCAACAGAAAAAAAGTCGTACGCACTCACTAACGATTTCTAGTGTTCTTATTGGTTCTCTCAATTTCGGTTATATGAAAATGATTTATCTAAGTGTCGCTCAGCTAAATCTATTTTTGGCCGGAAGCAATTAATTCTTTTTATACATTGGAAATTAACCAAAGCAAATGCTAGTCAACGTCATATTGGTAACAAAAAGTAAAAGTCAAAAAGTTTAATGTAACTTGATTAAATGGGACTTAAGAGAGTGTCTCTGTAAGAGCGGCCCGGTCGATTTTGCTTGAGACACGGATTTCGCTCTTACAAAGACACTCTCTTAAATTTTAAGTTACAGCACTAGCCTCATTATGGTCAAGAAAAGGTATAACGTTGTCACAACAGAAAGAACAACCGGTTACCTTAAAAATTCCATCATAGGAATTACAGAATTTGTGTCGAAATATCTACACTTTAACAGGATCTTTCATTACAAAAACTCAACTTCGACTGCGGGTCTGTTTAAGCAACCATAATACTGGTTTCTCCGTTCGCTACCACGCAGCAAAACATTTGAACATTAGGGTATAACGTTTTACTGATTTAACCAAATGTTTGTCTCAGTGGGAATATAACTCTTAACTCGTACACTCGAAGCGTGAAATTGAGGTCAGGATATTGAAACGAAACCTATCCTCGATCACAAGCTTTACTCTGTTCCAGTTAAACAAACACAAAATGTTTCGCTTGCCTATAAGTTTGAACTCAAAGACACCTGAATGCTTGTGTAGTAAGTATTGTATTTCGTACCCCTCGACGTTTCTTCGATCGTAGATTAATGTATTTTGTGTACAGCTGAATAAACTACTTGCGTCGAATTTTCATTCAGCTTCGGGCCTAACTTAACCGTTGCTTGTGTGATTCAAGTTTTGCCGTTTTGACGATCAGAAATGATATTGACTTCAGGTGGCTTTAATTTGAAGAAAAATTGAGCGTTAAAACGGATTACCAAAAGGTGAAAAAATTTAATAATTCAATAATTCTATTGGCTCTTGTTTCTGACTTTAATTGAAATTTTGATGTCTAGAAAAGCCAAAGAAGTGTCCAAAATTTCCCAGGTATATTTCAAAGCCAGGCGAAATGAGTTGATAACGGTTATTAATTGAGTCAGCTTATCTCTGGTAGAGGAGGTGGCGCTGATACAGTCGTCGGCGTAGCGACCGTAGAGTTCAGGTTTGGGGTCGTTGTATTGACTGAAAAATTGGTGTTCGATAAAACCTACGAAACAATTGGCGTAGCTGGGTCCCATTTTGCTTTATTAAAAGCAATGAACTTTTCTACCCCGCATTTTTTACCCCATGGCTCGAGTGTCATCTTTCCTTGAATGTTTTCTTCAATACACCCATTTCATTTACATAACGATAAAGCAAAAAGACCAGAGTGTCTATTAAGAAGCTTTTAACAAATCATATTTTATTCCAGCGTCAATCTGAACTACATATTAACCTAACAATTTTTTTCTGCTTCGTGAAGCCTCTGAGTTTGGGTTTGGGTTTGGGTTTGGGTTTGGGTTTGGGTTTGGGTTTGGGTTTGGGTTTGGGTTCGATCAAATTCTTGATCCACATATTTTTTTAAACACGTGGAATTCAACGTCTCCCTTTTACTTTCTTTGGCTACACAGGTTTTCTGATGGGCTCAATTTTTTAAATCCAATTGACAGAATGAACCGACAGGAATCTAGAGGTAACATTTCATCTGTACAAGCTCATTGGTCAAGTCGTGCGGTAAATTATTCCATAGGTTCCTGTTTCTGACTTGGTGGATACGAGATTGGTATAGCCAGTTCATATCAGGCGCGGGCTCATGGAACAACTGTTAAATATAGTACACATATTATAATAAGTATATACAGTAATTGCACGAAAGACAAAGGTTCTTTGATTACGGCTTACGTCCATTTCTTAGGCAAGACCACTGAATTAAGAAAAATGCGGGGACTTCGATTCATTAACCGGTTCTAGGCGTTCATTTAGTAAAACAGAACGAAATAAATGAACTGCGCGATGGTACCAACAAAACAGTACGCGACCCAACCCACCCCTGGCCCGTTTTTTTCACTCAGCTGCTATCATCGCATCATTTACTATAATTACACTTTGCATTTGCAGGAATTGTACGTGAAAAGTTAAGTGGTTTTTTCAAAGACAATACTCTGGATGCCAGTAATAGCAATGTACACTGTATCCCGTTACAAATCCATTTATTTCCTCTTTCACGACAAAGCGCAGTTTACGTGACGATAACTACCAATAATTCCCAGAGCACTAACTTTTGTTGACTGTTCCAAAATTGTATAGTCAGCACCCGTTCTTATTATTTTATTTTTTTATCCTCTCCAGGCTACTCGAGAGAGCACTAATGATTTAGTAAACATCTCCAGGGGTAAAACCTGTGCATTTTAATGGTAGGTGTTAAAATATTATCACACTTTCGCGACATGCTCCTGATTGTGGCGACAAATCCTAGGAGATAAAGTTATTTACCTGCATAAATCAGATCTTAAAATTTAGCTTCTTGTGGTCTTACCATACCATGTATTTCACAATTTCTCTACATTTCGTTTCCCGTAGAAAAGTTAGGAAATAGTCATTTCCCTCTGGGCAAAAATCTTCAAAATTTTATATACAATTTTCAGCAAATTCATCTCTCAAAGCTAAGACGATTGCACAAGTAATGTGCCAATTATAATTTTTATTAGGATAAGGCTAATTTTTAATTAATAATACTTTCAGTGTAAAAGTATTTCGAGTTAGTATCGCAGGTAGATGCGGTCTTAGGGAAAGCAGTTTATGCGCCGGATAGCTTTCCTAAAACCAAGCGGGTTTTGCGGCAAAACAATTTTTTAGCAAATTACTAAAACTGCAGACAACTACGGCACACAGAACGAGATCTCATCAATCTAGTTAATTGGATATTTTCCGCATTATCCTGCCTTTCAGAATTGAGTCAGAAAATAAACTGAACTCCAACGCTTGTGTCGAGCATGCGTGTAAGTGCTAAACATGTAGAAGAGAAGAGTATACTTTATCGGTAAACTGATAAAAGCGTTACAGCGTTTAAGAATATAAAATCAATTGAGTTATAACGTTCCAGCCTAATTGCTTAACACAAAATGGCTTTTTCTACCAAGTAAGCGTGTGAGGAAAAGATGATTCAGCCCTGAAACTTGCTGAGGCAAAGTGTTCAAACTGTTAGCCGGTCATATACCGCGGAAATCTATCTAACTACACCATTAAATCCTCGACGTTTGCATACAACTGCTTGTCGTACATTGTCATGTTGATCAGCTTCTGCAGAAAAGAATAATATAATAATTGACATCATTAAAAAAGTGTTCCTCTTACGTTATAAGCGTTTATCCTCCCAAGTGGTCAACTTTTCACACCAAAACAAATTCAAGAAAGTATTTTACGGTGTCGTTTGCTGCTCTTTGTGCGTCTCAATACAATTTTGCAATAATCCTACCATCTTTTAAATAACCATAATGAGTCAATTGTCGCAAGGACATTCTAGTTCGCTTCCTCCTTGTTTTTCGTGGAGTGCTAGCTTCAGTGACATAACAAGAAGATGCAATCCCAACTTCGTAAAAAGTACGCTATCTAAGCTAAACGCTATTAAGTTTAAAACCCTAATTAGCTAAGCCTAAGTTAGTCGGTCTAACGTCAAAAGAAACTTTCATGTTGAAGAAAATTCTCACCTTGTGTAGGGTTTCCATGTCCTTAAGCTGATTTTTCAATTCAGTAAAAGTTGGTCTTGCATCTGGGTCATTCTTCCAGCACTTCATCATAATCTGATACCTGGTATTGTTCAAATGATCTGTTAGAGATTTAAAGAACGTTTCCTTGTAGGATGAGAGAGAACGAATTGAAAAAACACTTACAATTCCTCATCAACGTGTTGTGGTTTAGGCATCCTGTATCCTTCCTGAAGTAAGTTTGCAATTTTTCTTCCATCAATTCGTGGGTAAGGTGAACCACCTGGAAGAGCCATAAAACCATCGAAATATAAATGTGACGAAAAAACGACCTTCACTGAAACACCACCCATGTCATTTGATGTTTGAAGCTTTTTACGTTTGTCTAAGTGAACACCTTACATTGCTTAATTGAACATGGTATATAGCAAAAAACATAGACAGGGCCTTATAAATCTCAATTCGATGTTACCTATGGTAAAAATCTCGTACAGCAAAACTCCATAACTCCATCTGCAGAAAGACAAATCAAACAAATATATATTGGGTGACTGAAGACATAAACATTTTATACGACAGCTAAAATGTATGTATTCTTTGACAAAGCATAGAATTCATGTCTTGATTGAAACTGATAAAAGCTTAGAGAAAGATGTTTTTCGTCTTGTCACGATTGTGGGACGAAGGAAAAATTTTGAGTCCCCACGAGGAATTGAACCTCAGACCTTCGGATTCCGCGCTCCGATTCTCTCTTTTATTTTTATTTACAAACATGACTCTATCGACATTGCTGACCCTTGCAGTATGCAAGAGAATAGAGTCGTAGAGTCTCTGTGGCTGAGTGGTATGAGCATCGGAGCGCGGAATCAGATGGTCTGAGGTTCGATTCCTCATGGGGAGTGAAGAATATTTTCATTGTCCAACGCTCGTGAGAGGATGAAAAACATCTTTCTCTATTTCTTTACCGAGCCCAAAACTTACCCTTCCTCTTATTCTATTGGTAAAACTTGTTGGAAAATTGCTACGGGTAATAATCGGGTATACTTACACATCACTTTTGGTGGTATATTTACCATACATCAAGGCCTCATAAGCTGTCCACTTCACTGGAAGACGGCCCTAAAGATTTCAAATATCACTTTTTGAAACAGCTAAAAAATTATAGGAAGCGACCGGTCAAAGACAGTGATATTTAAAATTATACTCGTATACAAATGGCTGTTTTCATTATGGTCCCATCCAAGGATTTTGTCATCGAAATCAGGAGTATATCAGCTTTATCACAACAATGATTGTGAAAGATAATTGAACTGAACGATATGAAGTACCGCCCCCACCTCCCCTCTTTCTTGATTACCTTAGTCTTTCGTTCATAAATATTTTCCTGCTGCACATCTCTGGCCATTCCGAAGTCTGTCACTTTACAAGTTTCCTTTTGTCCAACCAACACATTACGAGCCGCAAGGTCTCGGTGAATGATCTAAGAAAGCATTGATACGAGAGCAAAAATTAGCGATTTCAGAAGAAAAAGAACTGAAATGAAATGATTCAGATAGGAATATAGAAATATCCAGCGACATAATATGGTGTGTGTATTTCTCTTTCTTCCAGATGGCAGAAAATTAAAATTATTATAGTTACTGCTCCATCTTCCAAAGGGAAGCAAACTACTTCATTTCTGCAATACCTAATTATTTCATAGAAAGCTTATCTTAAGATTTTATTCGAAATAGGATTCTGTAATGTAGCAGTTAAGCAACCAAAGACGAATTTTTGAATTTCAAGTTTTAATTCCTTTTCTTTCTTGTCACTATAATGGATATTCGTTGTACACTCAGTTTAGGCTGAATAAAAGATCCTATTCATTCACATCTCTGCCTTTGCCTACACGAGAAAAACCCAGATATTTAATTTCGATGAGGTGCACTTGCAGCGATGCTCAAATATCGCCATTCGCACACTGAAATATAACTTTGGTGATGACGTCAAAACTGGTAGGGTTCCCGGAAACAGCCTCAACGAGACGGTAAGAATACGTTTGCATATCCCGGGCGTGATCTTGTGAAGACATATTATTCTATGCAAGACATAGCTTCACATGACGATACACCTTACAAGAAGGTTTTAAAATTGTTCTTCTTTGGTGCCTTTGTAATTAACTTACAGATTTTGAGGACAAATAACTCATTCCATCAGCAATTTGCCAAGCAAACTTCATCAGCTGCTGTGACGTCAGATTTGTTTGTGGTTTGATATCCGGGTCTTTGAAGTAAGTGTCTTTTAATCCACGGCTCTTTCTCAGGTAACCCAGCAGATCCCCAAAAGGCACATATTCAATCAAAACCAGCAGCTGTTCTGAAGAAATTAAACAGTTTCATTTATATATTTCTCCCTCTAAAAAAATTAGCAATAAGTAAAATAAATAAATAGCACAGTCAGGTTCAATACTTTTGAAGAAATCGCACGAAAACAAGATGTAGTTTTACGAAGAAAAGCTGAAAAACTTTGTAACGGTCTCATAAGAAGATACAGGCCAAATATTCCCTTAGAAAGAACGATTCTGCTCATACAACAGAATGGCTTGTACAATGGCAGATATTTGGTCTTCGTCTATCAGCAAATCTAAGAGCGTCGCTGTTAGCTAAAAAAGGATAAAATTACCATATGCGATGGTTGTTTTTTGTGCGCGATTGTGAAGCAGTGAATCTTCCATTGAAGCAAATTATCAATGACGAGAAAGCGTTACAGAGTAAATCAGATGCAAAATGTGTACAGCAAAATTGGACCTCATAATCAAAGCTTACCAGATTCTGTAACGCATCCCAGAAGTTTAATGACATAAGGATGTGGTTTCAGCTGCTTCATTGTGTCAAGTTCTTTCATCAAATCTCTCTTGTCCGATTCAGTAGCGTTTGCTGGAGCGTTAAAAACAAGGAGTAAAATTTGGTTAACGAAAATAATATGCAAAATGTCGAATAGCGACATAAGTTATCGAATGACAAATAGCCAAAAGTTACGTAACCCGGTAACAGTATATGACTGTAGGCCACGACTGTCATTCAATTTACAGTTCAAGAACTCACTTTTAAGCATCTTAATAGCCACTGTGGTCGCTTCAGGACTCCCTTGAAGTCCTACTGCTGTTCCCTTGGCAACCTGACCAAAAGCACCTTTACCAATAATTTTTTCTATGGTCACGTGGTGTCTTGAAACTTCCCAGCAGCGTGTTAACGGATGAAGAGGCACGTAATCAGCACCTGAAGCGGTACTTTGTGCTTTTCTATCATGTTTGTTGACTTCTATGAGATCCATGTATTCCGCAGGAGGCTGGGTGAGTTTTGCTGAATCGGGTAGACTTGGTTCGCTATCTTCTAATCCTGTTTCATTCTATTAAACCAACATACCGTTAAGGTATCATATACAAATCTGTTATTAATCCCAATAAAATTTCCTACATTTTCATAAAAATCAGTTTACCGTTTTCATCAGACAAGCGTTTATATTATTTCATAACAAGAGATTATTAATAGTTTATAATCTCTTGTCCTTAAATATTACTAATATTTATTATTACTAACACTTTGTTCTCTGCCATTGAAGCTATCATGTCCAATGGAGTGATCGAGGTTCATAGCATATTCACTGAAGCTACAAACTGCAACATGAGGATCGTCAATTGGTAGTGCAACTTTTTGACAAATGCACACACGAAAAAAAAACTCTTGTTGTACTAAGCTCCTGGACTAACGCTTTGAAAGTAAGGCATCAAGATAAACAGACGGCCAAAACGGCGTGAAAAAAAAATTATTTACAAAACAAATATCAACCGGGTGCAGACCAGTTAGCGATCTATGAAGTGAAACCATGCAATTGACCCAGAAACAACCGAAGGAAAATCCATGGAGTAGCTTGGTAAATGACATGATCCCAGGACAAAGACCCTATCGAGTCAAACTTCTTCCTATATTCTATTGTACCTGTCACTAATGCATTTTGCCTTTTTTGGTAGAACTACACCTTTTTTCCTTCCTATTTGTTCTAAGCCTTTATTTCCTTCTAGCGAGTAGAGGTAAAGTGAGATTACATAATTACTGGCCACACTAAAATGACCTCAACGTCTTGGCTGTAACTTACGTAGGAAACACCTCTTTTATCTTCATAAGTCCTACAATTGAGAAAGTATATAAATAATTATGACGAGCTGAGAATTGCATCAGTTTTAAGTGGAGGTTTGTTATAAGATGATACCATATCTGGTACATTACAAGGACACAATCCAAGTTGCAGCAAATTCTTACCTCTGTTTACCTACAGCGCCTGGAAAAGAACGAAAGGAAAAAAAGGCAAACGATGTGAATGTGGGTCAAGATTTGCTTTTGCTTAATAATGAATCTTGCAGCCAAACCCTCTATCATAGATTATGGATTTTTTACCTACCTTTCTTATGTAGCCAGATTATGTAAATAATTAGAAGAACGATTATGAAGGCAAGAACCCCATTTATGGCTAACGAGACGTTGTTAGATGGGCAGGTACATTCCTCAGGACCTAAAATGATTCATTTTACAAAGCTTGATCAGGTAACATTCAAAAAACATTTACAGTGATCGTGGTCAATACACTGCTCTCACTACATAGCTTACGCTCATGAACGAAAACCGTTAACTCTAATTGGCTAGGTATTAAGGAAAAGCAAGGTGCTACTATCTCTATAATTATTTTTAAAAGTAAGATTTTGTTTAATTGAATAAAAACAACAACAGCGACAAAAACAAAACTTGGAGACGTACGACTCACAGTATTGAGTTGTTTAATTAAACAGATACGGAATATAATTCTAAAAAGTCCATATTCGTACGAATACGTGTAAACATTTAACAATAATATTTATTCGTAAAATTAACCTTTTATTGTGCTTTCCGAGTCGTCTGTGGGTATAAAAACTTGTTTAATTGATTCTGGATCGACTTTAAAACCTCCGAATTTGTCTTGCCTTGCAGCATCCAACAGGACAGTCAAAACATTGCTGACGACCACACTTCGATTGAACCTCATCATGAAGTCGAGAACAACACTGCCACACCTAGGTAAGGGGGGAAGGAAGTAAAATGCCGAATCGAACACCGTGCCGAAAAGAGTAAGACGCATAAGTTATGACTGATTATACAGTCTGTATTAAACAAAACGAAATCGTGGGAAGAGTTCATTTAGGTTTGCAAGTAGTTTCTTGAACCGCTTTTACATTCTTCACCTATTCAAACATTTGTCAAATTTAGAGAATATAACTACATTACCTTTTCCTAATATTTGTTTTATCTCTCCCTTAAAAGCTTATTGCGATTACAATACAAAGCCATTTGTTACAATAAATAACATTTTCATTATGGGACCTTGTTGTTGTCTTTGTTCTGTGAAAAAATTGTCGCTACCTTAATTTAAATAACGTTATTTGAGTAATAGTTAAACAGGTTATGAATTAGGAAACCCGCAATACTCAATTTCCGCAACGTTATACTTGGAGATATAGGCGTCTTGTGGTCTTTTCTGACTTTTTATAAAATGAGTAGCCTAAAGATTAGAAAGAATCCAGCGCTAAACAAAGTATGTAACCGAAAGGACAGAGTTTGAAGCGAGAGCAATTCGACGAAGGCGTACCTTGCGTGACAAAAGCTGAATAACCACACGGCTTCAATTGCATAATCAGTCATAATTTATCCATCGTGCTCTTTACGGCACGGTGCCCTCTTCGACATTCTATTTGAACTTTAGTGACTTTTAAGTGTTAAATACATTGAGATTTAACCAAAAGAGTATTTTTGATCTAATAAACCAAGGTAAATAAATTAATTCATGTCATTCTGTGTCAATCTATTGCTGTACAGTACATAAAATGTAATTCAAATGTAGATTATTTTGCATTATCTAAGAGTTTTTAGAGCAGAAACACCAGTTTTAACACTTAAATGAGCAAAACTGAGATAAAGCTCCTCCTCGCTCCAGAACACAGATTTGCGTTAGCGTTTGCTGTTTCAGTGTTGAGACAAACTGCACCTTACCTGGTGTTCACGGTGTTGGCAGATGAGCAGCCAAACTTAAAGGCAATTTGACAAGCCTATAAGGACATTTAGAGAAGAAATGTAAATTCGAATACTTGTTTCGTTCAAAATGTCGTTTTGTTTTTACAGAAATATTGAGATTTCGTCTAAGAGCAGATTGATTAAGATTCCCTTTTAATGATAAATTTTATGGCAGTATTCTATACACTCCGGTATACGGATCAAGTAGATTATCTAACCATTTCTGGAAATTTCGCGGCAACTTCTGAACGTCTGCTACAGTTCCCCTGTATTGTCGCTGTCAGGTAAACTTCTGTGCTTTCTGAAGCTAAAGAAAAGCCGTGTCCTTTTACATTTATGAAAATTATGAAGAGCCTTGATTCACAAAAATTGCTGAGAAGTGGTTCCATCTAACAATAATTCTGCTTGAACATTGTCCAAAATCCCAGCAGAGATCGTACTGACAGAGTGTGCTACTAAGCTCGAGAGTTAACTTATGTTATAATGCACGCAGTAGCATGAACATGTTACGATTAGCCTTGTTCACAATGTTTTAATATTTGATACAGAAACTTGTAACATGTGTAAGTAGGCCCAAAGAGTGATTGAATTATATAGTTTGGTTCCTTCCCCCCTCCCCCACCCCACTTGAAAAAAGGTTTTGCATCGCCACATGAATTAAGTTATTTGTGTTTGAAGATGGCCAGCATATGCTTCAAAATATAAACCACAACTGGAAGGAGTCTTTAGAGAAATAAAAAGAATACTTTTATACATCTATAATTATGCTTATTCTTACTCCTTCCATTGTGGAAGGTACAGCCTTTTACTCATAAAGATCTTTTGAGTCGCTGCACGACACCTGACGAGATTCAAATAACCGTATAAGTTTGTATTAGAAGAAAGTAATAACGGAATGGTAACAACTTTGCAAACAAATTTTTCAATTTTGATATAGATTTAGTAGTCTGTGTTATGACTGTTTGTGAGTCTACAGTCCTTCGCTAAGTTCCAGACCCTTAGTGACTTAACTCACTTTTTGTCTTACTCAAAATTATTTCGTAACACCAAAAGAACGTGCTATTATTATGACATAGTTTTATATGGTGGTCAAAAGAACGCCTATAAAAATACATTTACCTGCGGGAGTTGTTTGGTATGAAGTGGCAACTGTACTTGAAACTGCTTGAACTGGAAAAAAACAAAATACGAATTAAAATGATCGACAAGTAATTTTAAATTTTATTTAATCATCATACCAACCTCAAACAACATAATAATAAGTTAGCTGAAATAATTTTTTTCACGGAGGTTCTGGGTATGATAGACTATACTTCCTAAAACTGTTATTATTATTCATATCATTGTCACCAACATCATTATCACTGATATTATTATAACTATCAGCATCATTATAATTATTATCATCGTCAACACTATCACTAAAGAGCACCCAAAATGTCAGAGAACTACAGACAGGTCCATAAAATCTTAGAACAAAACTAACCTTTCAGTGTTAACCTCATTAGAACATAGATATCAATGGACGGGGCCAAGTTTGAAATGTGAGGTCAAGTGACAAAGTTTCAAATTTTTATATGTTAATATTATATATGTTAGTAATTAATTTTATTTAATTTTTAAGGTGGAGCGTAGTGGTTTTCTAATATCGATAAAAAGAGCATTTCCATGTAAAAAAATGTAAAAGTTTTTCTGCCGTGTTGAACTTTGCGTGCAGTAAACGCTAACGGATCGAATAAGGCCAGAGACCAACGCCTGACAGCAGATCGCCTCATTAGGGTATGTATCTCGCACCAATCAGATTACCGTATAACGGTATGTATCTCGCACCAATCATATCACAGTATTTGGATATCTTGCACCAATCACAGCGTTTGGGTGTTGTTTTCTTGCAAATGGTGTCATGGAATCAAGGGGCTGTGCACAAAGAATGACACTACTAGAACGTTTGGGCTCATTCATTTAAGAAGTGTGATGGTTTGTGGCATTCGCAAAACCCTTGTCGATTAAGGTCGAGATTTATCGGGGTGTGAAAGGTTCACTGTAACTAAATACTATACGTTTAACGCCAAAAAATGAATGCACAGTGTCCTATTTGACCGATAGACGAATATTTAGATGTAAAGATGTGCACATGTATACATGTGTACACGTATACGTGTGATTCGACTGGAAATAAACAATTAATACAAATACCTAAGTACAAATATAACAACAACAAGACCAACGACAGAGCTACACGAAATAGAAACGAACTTACAATTTGTGGCTTACAACTAGGTCCGGTAGTAAACCTCTTAAACAAAATTAAAACGGCGCTAGTGAGAAGTATGTGACGAAAACAAAGCTTATACTGGCGAGAAATAAAACGCTACCAGCACAACTTAATTCTTACACAACCTCATTCAAAAAGGCGGGCTTAATTGAATGGAAACATAACATCACAATGGTACTTCAATTGAAAGAAAAACAATATAAAATCTTTTCGCATTTAGTTGACAATAAATAGAAATGCAAACTCAAGTTGCTACATTCCAGCCCCTTAAGTTTACTTCAAGTATTGGGCGACTAGAATTCAAATAACAAATAACGTAAGAGTCCCCTAAGTTAGTCCGCTAGCGTTCAAAGTTCACGCACATCTGGTGCACAAATTCAAAGGCTTTTTCACTTTAAATAAACAACACGATAGTCGGGTGGCAAATTTAAATGCAATCGAAGTAACAAATAGTTAGTAGTCAAAAATTCTGAATCAATAGAACTGCCACTGTTGAGAGTCAGTGGTCGACCATTGAGAATTCCCTAAATGTCCCACAGACTCATGAACATCCGTAGCGAGTAGCTTGGTTGGTGATCCGATGAAGAATTTTGAAGCCGACCACCACCTCTCAATTTTCGTGCTCCATCTAGAAATGGTCTCAATTTGATTCTCCTAGGCTCAAGTCTAGGAGGACATAAACTACTGGCGAGAAAACTGAAAACTCTTGCTCTTAAGGAATTCTTTTTAAATCTCAGACGCCAAGCAACTCCCTTCTTAAGCTTAAACCGTGATGAGTATTGCCATTAGGTTCAATGGTCGTTTATCCTCCGTGAGAGTAACATGGTTTGCTCGAGCTTGACCTCTGACTGCTGGTTCTTACTCAAAAATGCTGACTGATGAGACTGGATGGGTGGGCTACGATGTTTCACTTTCCCGCAGAAAACTTAGGGCCTCTGAACCAAACTTCTTTCTTTAATAACTCCTTTACCGTCAGTCCTCGGCTGGTATCTTCAGCTAGGTTGATGCTTGTTGGCTCAAAGTTCTACTGGGAAGGTTCTGAGCCATCATGTGTCACTGCCGAGCGATTGGCCACAAACTTGCAGAATCGTTTGTCTCTTGCTCTTGATATATTGGAGGACAGCTGTGGAGTCTGACCAAAATTTTCTCTTGTTAAATTTTAACGAAATTCTTCTTGTAACGTCTGATTCATTCGGACAGTTAAAACAATAGCTGACAATTCCAAACTGAGTATAGTCATCTGTTTCACGTGAGCTAAGCGAGATTTCCCAGCGAAGAAACTGCAGTGGGTACGGCCATTTTCATTGACGACTCTAGCACATGAAACAGTCCCATAACCAATCTGAGAGGCATCTGCAAAGTGGGGAGGCTCTGCTTTTTGTACCCAGCCAAAGTCGATTGCTTTCAAACATATTGGTAAGGCAACACTTGAAAGCATAGGTAGATCAGATAGCCATCGTCTCCAAAACTGATATTTCTCTCCCACTGTCTCTTTATCCCAGGTGAGTCCTTGTTTGCAGAGATCTTGAAGGAGTTTTTTAGCCAGTAAGGGGATTGGTGATACTATGCCAAGTGGATCATAAATGGAGCTAGTCACTGATAGAATCCCTCTTCGTGTGAAGGGCTTATCCTTTGGGTACCCTCTTGAAGATAAACATGTCGCTATCCATGTTACATTGAACACCGAGGGTTATTTCAATAGGGAGTACACCAGAATTTAAATCCAAATCCAAAATTGATAAAGCTCTATCTGACATTGGAGTAAGACCTCCCTCCTGTTACACAACCATTTAGTCGATCGAAATCCACCTCTTGACAATAGGACACACAAATCTTCTCTCAATTTCCAGGCGACTTCATTTGACTGCACCGATTTCAAACAGTCATCCACATAAAAGTTCTTCAATTGTCAAAGTCATCTTTGTCAAAGTCTCCTGCATTGTCTAGAGCCATCTTTCGAACACCAAAATTGTCCCAACTTGGTGAAGACGTGCTACCAAAAAGGTGTACTCAACAGGCTCCTTAGATAAGTCGTCGTCAGGCCACCAAAGGAACCTTAAGTTATCAACATCGTTTGGATCAACTATTACTTTATGGAACATGGCTTCAATGTCTGAGGAGAGAGATACTGGTTCTTGACGAAATCTTAAGAGGACACCAAGCAGGCTGTTAGTTAAGTCTGGACCAATTGGTGGTTGGTCATTGAGTGATGTCTCTTTGTATCGGGCTGTGCAGTCAAACACCACTTGCAGTTTTCCAGGCTTATAATTAGGATTAAAGGCAGCATATAATTGACGGATCAATATCAGTGTCTAGGCAACTGCCCACCTATCCCTCCCCTAACCCAACATTAACCCTAACTTGTCTGGGTTAGGGAGGGGGTAGGTGGGCAGTTGCCCAGGTACTGATATTAATCCTAACTGACTAGTGATACCTTAACTCGAGGTTGTTCATTGTGGTTTTTTTAATTTTGACTCATTTTCGCAAACCCATATTTTAATTCATTTCGATAACATATCAGTTCAACTGATACTGACATCTTACACTACATCTGAAGAAAACATTCCCTATCCTCGAATATCAACAATCATCCTTGTTGCGGAACATCAACAGAAGTCTTCATCTGCTTGAAAGTACTGCTAACTAGCACATGTGTTGATCGCCAGGCAAAAAACGTCAACCTCATCACCAGGGTCTCTATTCCTCCCTGTTCGGGGTTGTAATGATTCACTGTGCGGGAAGTTTTATTGACGCAATGTAAACTGGTATAAAACATCTTTCCCGTTTTAATTGTAATTCCAAAGTACTTTAAAATGCTCAAAGATCTTCCTACTCACCCTTTATGTTGAGTCTCAAGGTGGCTTTTGCTCCATCTCCAACGTCATTACGTGGGATACATTTGTACTCGCCATAGTGCTGATATCGATTGACGTTATTGAGAGTAAACTCACTGTTGCTGTTCTCGCTTAGGAGGCTGCCATTGAAATAGAACTTGTAAATTGACACTTGTGGCACAGCAGCCGTAACTATGCACTTGAACGTAACAGCGTCTCCTTCAGTGACGGTATTTTGTGCAGCATTGGTAGTGAGCCTCACACCTTCTGGTTTGTCTACAAATTTAAACCAAAATCTCAATCTCAGTTTATTTCATCGCTCACACATTTCGCCTGGTTATAAATCGCAACCTCTTGTAAAAGTCTAGAAGGTACATGATACTGCAACAAGGGAGGGTTAATCTTGCATCAGTCTATGGAGTGCCTTGGGCAGAAAATAAAACACTTTTGTAAAATTGTACCAAGTTATCTACCCATAATTAGAATGCTGACTATAAGCAAAATACTTTACCATACACACTACACACTAAAAACAATGGCATTAATGTAACAAGAAAAATAACACCAACTTTGTTGTTACTAGGATGGCTATTTTAAATCCTCTGTTATCAAAAACGAGCAATTTGTGAAGCCCAGCTTTATGTCTTAACGGACATAAAAACGCTGTCGCTCATGAAAAATTTTTGATTAAAATCCTTAATTTTCAGCCAGAAGACGAGTGCAACTAAACTTAAGCGAACTACGTGTTTGCAAACAACCTTTTTTTCCAAGCATTTCCTACTTACATCAAGACTCCTTATTTTCATTGGGTGAAGACCTAAAATGAAAGTGAAACGCTATTCATTTCATCTCCGGACTTGCCTGCAACAAAACGACCTTCAAATTTTCTATTTGAAAAAGAGCTCAACTAAACAAGATAAAAAGTTGACTTCACCCTTTGCACTTAAAGAAATATTTGTTTACTTGTGCAGAGATAGAATAGATATTACAGTAGCTGAACATGGTGGTGAGAAAGTTATCATGCAGGCTGTAATACGGCTGTTCACTACGACTGCCGTGAATCTGACGGAAAGGTTGAAGGTGTTGCAAAGACTGTTGAGCTGAATTTTTCGGTACTTTAAAGCTGGCGACAAAACTCTGCCTCCAAAACTCTGCCTGTGTGTAGCCACTCAATTATGGAACGTTAGCCGTTAAAATAATTATATTATGCTGATATCACGAAGATTATGACCAGTTTGCGCAAAGCGAAACCAAGGTGATTTTTGTCGAATTATTTTTCGCCAAGTAACTTTCGCCAATGTTTATTGAACCGCAGGAAACTTATATAGAATGAAAGCTAAGATGTAGTAGTATATTGCAACATTGTGTTAATCACAAAGAATGACAACGTAACCTGTGACATGAGTTTCGTTCTTTTGAATAGGGTGCGTTATCAGATCGAATGAAATTTATATCATACGTAAGGTTAGATCTTAAAGTTTAATTAATTTTTGGTTTAAGGAAGCGAAAATTGAAAATGCTCACAAACACGGTGAAATTTTTCAGAAAGCAACTTCCTTTCCTCTAAGAGTCTCTGCTGCCAAACGACAAACACCATCTTTTTCTCGGGATTTGAAACTAGTGTCATCATGAAGCAGGACAAAGAAAAACTGCTTTCGATTATCTTCTAATAGATAATGAGACAAAACTATCAAGTAATAAAGGCTTGGAAAAATGCTTTTACCAAACAACGCCTACGCGTGTCTAACGTCATTATAATTAGATCAACAAAAATTAGTACGCGAAAGGACACTAAACTTAATTATTGTCAACGTAAAGTTGCAAACAACAGGGTAGTTTGCATGTAATGTAAATTAAAAGAGGCTTGATCTGACTTAGCCGTAAGAGCAGTTTAAAAGCGCAAAATCGTGCACTTCAGCTTCTTTTATTACTGCCATTGCAAATCTTAGGTATGCAGTTTTAGTTTCAGCCGATTTTCGTACCTGTCAGCTGATCTCAGCTATCAGTAAAGAAAACTGTAATTTCTCAGCCGACAGAAATTTTAACAAATCTAAGCTTTCTATTAGGAAATAAGGTTAGAATATACTTACACAGAACTACAATTGATGTGTCAATAGAAGTGACTTCTGCATCTGTTCTGTCTATATTATCGAACTTTAAAAACGTAGCTTTCTTCCCTGAACTTATTACTGCCATTGCAAATCTTGGGTATGCAGTTTTAGTTTCAGTCGATTTTCGCACCTGTCAGCTGATCTCAGCTATCAGTAAAGAAAACTGTAATTTCTAAGCTGACAGAATTTTTACCAATTCCAAGCTTTCTATTAGAAAATATACTTACACAGAACTACTATTGATGTGTCAACAGAAGTGACTTCCACTGAGTTATTGGCTCGACATGTATATTGTCCTGCATCTGTTCTGTTTATATTATCAAACTTTAAAAACGCAGTTTTCTTCCCTGAACTTTCCAATACCCCATTTCTAATCCATGCCACGTCCGGCAGTGGTTTCCCAGAAGCTTCACAGGCCATGGTGACTGGGGATCCTTCAGTGTAATATTTTCCTCTTAAAGAGATGTTTATAAGTAGTGCCTCTGAAAGGTAAAAGAGATTATGTCATTCCTTACATAGCGTAGCAAATCTTACTTGGACCGAGTCTTAAAATTTACCCAATTTCAATAAAATAAACAAAAGCATCCTGTAATTGGTGCTCAATAACCAACTAGTATAAGGAGGCTCAGGGACTAGCTACTGGAGAACTAGCTCACAAGCTAAATTATAAAGTACAGCCCCAGCCTAGGGAATTAAGGGCTAATTCAGGAAGTTACTCTTTAGGCTAAGGACCCTGGCTTCTGAGCTACTTCCACTCTAGAGGATAAAATTGCTGCTGCCGAAACAAATAGGAACCGAGCCAATCAAGGCACACCCCACTTTGAACTTGGTCTAACAAAGGATCTACAGGAGACATCCTCAGCCCAGAGAACTGAAATTTTCACGAAAGAGAAACTATGGATTCTTCACAATAAAAAGAATATACCAGTGGCAAGCTGTATGCTGCTTGCCCATTACTTAAAGTAAAGAGAAGGTCAAGTCTAAGTAAAAAAAAACACCACGATGTTTGGCCCTTGATTTTTTTCTACAAGTGAAATATGAGACATGTATTGGCTTTGGCTACAAAAACCAAATGCAGATGATGATTCTTTTGCCCTTTAAGCCATAATAACCTGGTATCTTTCAATTGTAATACAATTTGAAAAGAGAAGTAGTGCGACAGGTATTATATTACAGTTAAAATAGGCCAACAGAACATAGCAAATGCATAATTAAAATAAAGGAAAGAAAGAAGATTATGCAATGGCTGGTGACCTAAAACAATTTTTGTTTATGAGTCAAGCAAACAATGAGGTAAATTGTTCATGAGTATTGAGATGTCACAAACGTTTTTAACTTTGATTCACAGTCTCAATTTGCTCCTTAGTATGAGAAATTCCTTGAGGAAGTCATCATTCTTTTGGCTAAATTTATATCTGCAAACCTCTCAGATCATAGAATCCTTAGAAAGCAGCAAGTGGCACAGTACCAACTATCATTGCCTTTGGCAAGCCCTTTTAAAAAGGCATGAAAAGCAATACAATCTTTCACACCAATTTAATTTCACATGCTGCCTGTGATTGGTCATGCAATATTTTCCTTCACTGATTTAGCAAAATCATACAATCAGTTAGTTGTTACTATTTATGACTAACTGTTTTTGACAGCTTTGCCAAGAGAAAATCTCAGTACTCAAAATAATAATGTATGCTTAACAGAAAAACCCAGTAAATGGTGCCAGAAGAATAAAGCAGGAACTCTCCAATAACTCTTTGATTTCTTTTTCATGACCCTTGCGAAATGGCTTTTGGAATTCCTAGGAATTCCTAGGATTTTCCTAGGAATTCCTAGGAATTCCTAGGAATAAAGGTGTGAATTTTCACGGTAAATTCAGACTAGGAATTCCTAGGAATTCCTAGGAATTCCCAACCATAACAACTCTGGTTCTAAAAACCTAGAAATTCCTAGAAATTCCCAGAAATTCCAAGTTTATAGCCAACAGGACTTGGAATTCCTAGGAATTCCTAGGAATTCCAACTCAGAGAACCAATGACTTTCCCTGAAAAGCTGTAAATCTAAAAAATTCCTAGGAATTTCTGGGAATTTTTGGGAATTTTTAGGAATGTTTAAGAATTACTGGGAATTTTAAGCAAAAATTTGAGGCTAATGATATAAAATAAATACTTTAAATTAAAAAAAACCCAGCTAAAATTCAAGTATTCAATGAAATTTATTTAGAAGCTTAATTAAGGCTTACATGTAAAATATTTTTGATTAATTAACATCAATGTGTGGTAATATTAGGATGGAATTTGATTTATTTTTCTTTTCTTGAAAACTTCATACGGATTAATCCTCAATTACAGCTATTCATATAAAATAGTTCTAATCAATCATTAAATTTGGTTTGACACAAATTGTGAATAGAATCTGTTGATTCTTTTCCATAAAATACAATATCTTAAGTTATATTTGAAAACCAAGCACTCTTGGGAGTGAAGGGGCTAATTACAGACAAATAAAATTGATTTTTTGATTAAAATCTTGTTGTAACTGTAACAATAAATTAGAATGAGGTTATCCTAAACTGCAAACTTAGCTGCTGTTTGTACTGTTTGTATTTTTTTTTCCTGGGCTCACAATGAGTTGGCCTTGAATGAGGTTGTCAACAAGAACCTTGACCATTTTGTATCTGGATTCCTTGACATCTGAATTTGAAAAAAAAAAATATATTAAAATATGTATATTTAAAGCTCAGACCAGGCTTTTAAGATGGCTATGAGGAAAAAGGCATTCATTGGATTCTCAAATTGAGAAATCTCTGTTATATTGAGTGACTTTTATATTGGAGTTAGTACATCTCTCTCTCATGGATTTTACTAAAAAAGGGCTGAATACATTATTTTGTTTTTACCAAGGAGGGCTTCTTTATGTACTAAGGTTTGTTCAATAACAGTTCCTATTATGAATCTTGAATGTTCCCAAACGTGACTAGAGGAATCTTGAAACCTTACTGATAGGTTTATTTCATTGTAAAGCATAAGCTTAAGAAACTGCGGCATGCAAGTAACCGATTCGATTCTCAGAATTATTCCAATTTTAGTTGCGCCGAGCGTTATGTACGCTTAATTCAACCCGCTACATCTATTCTTTTATAAGATTTTGATCACGTAACGAATATCGCAGTTTTTACTCACCACAAACTTTCAAAATCGTAGCTTTACAGATGGCCACTCGACCCTTGTTTGTACCAGTCAATATGTCAACTGTTGTCCCTTCTTTTAACTCCACGGCGCCAACGACTTTCTTTTCTTTTACAACACTCACGCTATTCTCGTTTTCCCATTGAACCACAATAAAAGCTATCTTTAGAAATGTTATATTAAGCAAAACAGTTGAGAAAAGCGATCAACCGATCCAAAGTACATTCAAAGATGAGCGCCAAATGGAGTCTTCTTTGTTTCCGATCACGGGCATGATCACGTGGATCTTTTAGGACTTGTAATTGGCTAGCAAAGTGAATCCGCTGGCTTGGCGATTGCAGTGTTAAGGGAAGCACCGAACTTTATTCTGACTTCTCCGACCGGTTCTCTGCTTCTAGAAGATGGATAGCTTGGTGATATAAATAAAGATGTGAGCTCACTCTATGTAGAAATAATCGAAAAGAATCGATCGTATTACAAATGCACGATTTGCGGCCGAAAGTTGTCGAGGAAACAAAGACTCGAAACTCACTTGAGTTGTGTTAATGGCCAAGGTGAGAAATAACACAAGCCAATCACAGTTTTGAATGCGACTACAAATCGTCTTTTACCCTCATATTTATAAAAGAAGGATACCACATTCGGAAGTATAAGAGATACATAGATGATCCCAGTACCTAAATCTACAAAGCTTGACCGTAGCAAGCGTTCAGCAACACGTTCCAACACCGCCATCTCGATTCCTCAGTCAGTCGTTTCCACTGAACTTAAAGCAGTATTGACAACAGAGTAGAGTGCGTCTTACAAAGGAGAAACATTTGTACAAGAGACAGGAGTAGCTATATGCGATTACAGAGGTGCGTTGGAACTCTGGTCCACAAATAGTTATGCACTGCCCGAAGTATAAAACAATCTTGTTGATAGCTGACAGACAGAGAAGAACAACAAGTAAACTTAAGAGCTGTTATTATTGAAGTGTGACTATCACTTTTCATTTTTATATAAAGAAGGACTTGTAATTTGCACCAAAAATAAAGAGATGTAATATTTTTTTGGGAGATCCAGTGATTGGGACATTTAAGAAATTAAGTTATGAAAGGAAACTTGGTTGGTACTTCTCACTACTAAGAAGTCTTGTTGACAAATATTTTCAGATCAGAATTTCAAATAAAGTAAATTGAAGACGTCATATAAAAGGTGTTTTTCCTCTAAGGGAACATTGACTACCTCTGTCTTGTCTGCATGCCAAATGTTTGCAAAGTGTGTGGATGATCCACAAGTATTGGAACTCTTACAAAAATGTTTTGTAAGAATAAAAACAGCAAAACAAATTACAGCAATTAGTCATGAAAATAGAGCAAAAACTGAAAAAAAAAAAAGCAGCAACAACAATCATGAAAAAAAGAAAGATTAATTAGGTGTTGAATTTGTTTGTCTAAGGCATGAAATTTCTACTAAAAGTATTGTCAACAAAAGTCTCTCTGACAGCGTTTGAGGCAACTGAGCTTGACTGTTCCAAGGTTTTCTAACAAAGGCAACCAGTAATGTAGGTTAGGGAAGTAAGATAACAATGTAACTATTGTTAATTATCGTGGAAGTTGGCAATTTCCATTTAACATAACTGACAGCTGGTTCATGAGAAAATCCATATTAATGTAAAGATTTACTAAAACTTAGTTTGAGTAATAAATTTCATGATCTTTAAGTTATATCTCTTGGTAAGTTTTGTATAGCATACCTTTTATTGAGCCAAAGTTTTAAGCCTCTGAAATTACTCTTTTTCTTAAAACCTTCATATTCAAGGTATTGAGAATTTCTTAGAATTTATGTGGACCTCAGGGTATTAAAATTGCCTCAAATTCAATTCCCAGAAATTCCCAAGAGTTCCACACTTCTTAAATTATAGGTAGTTTGTAAAGCTGAGAATTCCTAGGAATTCCTAGGGATTCCAAGTCCTCACAAAACTGGAGTCTTCCTTTCCCAGAAATTCCCAGTAATTCCAAGCTTTTTAAATCAGAGTTAATTTGCATAGTTGGGAATTTTTGAGAATTCCTAGGAATTCCTAGGAATTCCTAGGAATTCCTAGGAATTTTTAGGAATTCCTAGGAATTCCCAGAAATTCCCAGAAAACTGGGAATTCGGTTTGCAAGGGTCATTTGCATAATTGGGAATTTTTGAGAATTCCTAGGAATTCCCAGAAAACTGGGAATTCAGTTCGCAAGGGGAGTGACAGCAGAGTAAATGGTAGAATTTCTTTTCTCCTTTTCAGAGTGTGGTGTTGCATGCCAATTAAGTAAAAGTAGCACTTTTGTTCCCAAAAGCTGGTTTGCAAGCCACTTTCAACCCTGCCTATAAGGTTTGTGCATGTTTATATTATTGTTTACCTTCTCCAGATCTCAGAATACTGAGAGACAGTGTTGAAAGCATTTGATTTTTGTCTGATCATTAAATGTTTCTGTCTGAAATACATACCTGCCACAATAAGCTGCACTGTACTTTCTACCGTGTAAGAAAAGCTTCCCAACATTTCACATCTAAACTCAGTATTGTCTCCAGGGTTGATGTTTTTGATAACCAGGGTAGCTCTTCCTCCAATTTTAACTCTTCCTTTGTAAGATAGAGGAATAGCAGGATGTTCTTGGACACCACCACTGTCATTAAAGATCATTCGGACAAATGCACTATTTACCAGAACACTATAGATAATTCCCTGAATCTTATTATGTGGGTCAGTGTAGTCCCACACCAGGTTGGCATCACTACCATTGTTAAAATAGCTTGGATTAGAAGGTTCCTTGGTGAAGTGCACATCCACACCCCCTGAAATAGACAACCATAAACATAATATTCTCAGCCCTTTAGTTCCATGTGTAATGTTAATATTTAGGAGGAAGGGCTTAAATAGAGTCAACCACAGAGGCACTTTTAGTGTAAGCAGTAACAACAATCGCTATTCACTGATATCAATTGGCTTGAAATATACTTTCATTTGCTAAGAAATAAGGTTCAATAACAGTAATGTGTAACTATTTGTGCCTTTTGAAAATCATTTTTGACAAGTTCCACTTTCTTTGATTTCCAATTTGTGTACAGTGGTGAATTTTCAAACTTCAAATGTGCATGGTACACTTGAAGAAATTTTTAGAAGAACTTGTTGAGGTGGAAAATGAAAAGTGGAAATGTCCACACATAACATATGTTAAACCATTGAATGAGGGATTTACTATTCCACTCATTTCGTTTTCTAGTCTATTGGCTTCTAGTTTTTAAAAATTTGTATGGTCTTATCTCAGCACCCTACCCATCACATAAGATGTGCAGGATAGAAGAAAACAACAGAAAAGAAACCATTTATTGTTCTTGATGACCAGAACAAAATTATTGTGGGCTTTAAAGTTCACTGCTGACAATTCATGTTTAAAAATTGGGAAAGAAATCAAAGATCATGTGCATCACTTCTGTCCCTATTCTTGTTCTGCAGTGTATAACCAGAACATATTTAGCATGTTCCATTGCCTAATAAGGTGAAATGACATAATAGTAAAATTAATAAAAATTAACAAATATTTGTGGAAGGTAAAGTGTATATTATTCATCGATCTTCCTTTTGCCTTCAGCAAATAATTGTTTTAATATAATCACTCAGGTGCTTTCGAATTCTGTTATAAATTCTGTAAATAAAGAAAACATTGCACACAATTTTTTGTTACAACTTTTTTGATTATCTGTACCAAGATGAGCAAGAGGTTTTAAGAGGTTTTCTCAATTGAATCAGCAAAAACTTCATCCCTTTGTTTTGAAAAGTGTTCTGCTAATCTTTTTAGTATCTTTTGTGCTCTTTGCAATTTAATTTTCCTTTATTGCATTTATCACTTCTGCGTGAACATTTGACAAAATGCGAGGCAGCCACTCTGAAATTTAGCGCTCTTGCTATAATCACCCTGTGCACTGTGATGATATAGCAAGATATGATGCAATCCTCAATCAATCTGAGCATGCACATCTCTAAAATCAACTAAAAATTACACTAGTAGTAGTAGTCAATCGTTGACATCATCACATTACACCTTGAAGTTCAGACAACAACAGCAAAAACAACATTGCAGTGATCAATCACGTCACATGTGCATGATTTTCCAAAAACTTTGGCCCATTATGCTGGCATAAAAATTCCAATGTTATTGTAAAAAAGAAATTAACCACAATTTTCCATTGTCTGTAACCTAGCATTGAAACCACTCAGTTGCACCTCCTTTAGCTTTTAATATCTTTGACCTCATTTCTATGATCAATAAGATTTTAAAAAAAAGCAGAATTCTACACACATTTTGATTGGTTCTTTCATGTACATGTAGTTATGATCTATTGGAGGACAAATGCATGGGTGACATCACCATTAACAATTTTTGACTATTCATTGAATAAAACAAATAGATTCCATGTTGCTGTTGCTATGTACGTTATAAATCATAGAGGATGTCAAATTGTGCTAAGAACATCGGTGATACACTCAACTGCACCTACCTTGTTCTAGGCATTCAGTAAGTAAAACATAGCACAATAGTAAACAGTGCTGTAGTCTCCCCTGCCTTTTCACTCCACTACTACTGCTTCACCTTTGCTAATTAGCTCCATCCATTTTCTTAACTGAATGCCTGGAACAAGCTAAGCTGCATCCCATGTGCCACTTTTTTGTTCTTACCATATTCTGACATAACATGTGATCTATTACTGAACAGGTGTGCAGGATTTTTTAAAGTGTTTTTGTATAAATTAATTTCCAAGCACACTGGTGGTTAGCCACCAGCCATTCACCTCAACTCAAAGCATGGCACAACAACAAAATGGCTACCCACCCTGCTGTGGAAAGCTAAGAAAATATAATTTCAATAAAAGAAGCAGCTGTCACAAAAAATACAAAAACAGCAACCAAGTGTGCTTTGATAGCATTGAATGGCAAATTAACTAACCTTTCAAATCTTAATTTCTCACAGAAACTGTGCTGTAAAGCTGTACACAGGTGAAAGACAAAATTCAACTTTTTTTGTACCTTTATACTTTTTGTACCTTTGTGTCATTGAGCATTCTGATGTTCTACTTATCTGCAGGACAGCAGGACAGGTACTAAATGTACTTATTATGTGAAGCACTTCTGCCAAAAAGTTGGAAAATCCTTGATTAACCTGGAAAGCCAAATTTTCTCTTGCTTTTTTTCACTGTGATAATCACATATTAGAAGCCTGAGAGAAGCCAGTTGGTTCATACACCTTGTGACCACAAATCATTAAGTGGTAGCATCTTTGTAACATCTTAAACTTAATATTAATTTTGGTTTATTCACTTGGAAGAATCTGTTTCCATTTACAACAACAGTTATTTTAGAGCAAGTGCATTACCAAGTTTAATATTATATTTTAATTGGTATAACTGAGTTCCAAAAATGGTTAAATATGGTTGGGACATGTAAGAAATATAGATGCTTCATAGTTAGTGAGTGCGTGCAATTTCAATTCTTGAGTTGTGAAGAATAAAACAACAAGTGAGGAACAAGCAAGTTTTTGGCTAGGCTATAAGTAGATAAAAATCATACAGTTAAGCAAACTAAACATGATGAAATTTGAGGAAGTGCAGGTTGTGTGTGATTCATATGCAGAAAATAGAGGGACATTTACATTCCTGCAAGAACAAAGGAATGACAAAAACAAGAAATAAATTAGTGGATTGAAAAGCCTTTGTTAATAGCATAGGAATTATAGTGCCAATATGAAACAGAAATTTTTGGTCATTCACATAAGCACAAATCAAATCGCAATCATGGATTGCAATGCTTTCTTATCAGAGTCAGAATCAAGAAATTTAAGTCTTTTATACCATTTTGGAGGAGATTCCACTTTAGTTCCCCTGATTAAACATGTCAGGGATTGATCAAAGCATAGATTTAGACAAAGATTGTGATAAGTTTGCAAGACGCCAAATCAGAATGAGTTTCCCCAGTTTGCATGAAGTGCTGCTGACTTCTTGTTTTCAACCTTGAAGTCATGATTCTATAGTTTTCAGCAACTGGCAAACCTTGCTGATATTCACTTTCATTAACTTTAGCAAGCCCCCACAAAATAAAGGCAAAAAAACCCATACTATTGTTTCCAGTGGTCAAAAATTTCATCTTCAACTTGGGACTGTACCTACAAGAATTTGTGCAGTTTATTACAAATCCTTTTTTTGTTTCGTTAATTTAGCTTAGAGTAGATCTCAGTATGTATATGATAAACAAAGATATCTTCACACACATTTCAAAAAGGTTGGTCCTGGTTAAAACTTTTACTGTTTTTAAATATACAAAAAAAATAAGTTTTACAGAACTACCAGTGTGGGATACCACAATCATATGTGCATGAAGCTAAAAACCGGTCAAGTAAACAAATCATACATGAAGGTATAAGCAAATACTGCTCAATTATCCACCCAAGTGTATTATGTAGTTTCTTTACATGATTGCTGCTTGGAGGAAGAGTCACACTCAACTTAGCTAACAGCAATTATCCTTGCTGAGGTCATTATGTGCACCAATAATGAGTGGAAAATTGGTGACAGCTCTTCCCAATAATAAATGATGGAAGGGAAGAAAGAGAGTTTATGTACAGATGGCAACTCTCTTCTGGGCAATTGCATAGCCATCATGTTTGTAATGGAAAGCCAACTAACAAAGCAGTAACTTTTCTCATGGCTAAAAAGATGACCCACACTAATCAAAAAAATATTGTACTTCTAAGTTTCAATGTTTATGTTAAATTCTGAACGTATGGTATTGTTACACTTGAAGCATAAATTCCTTCGCTCTTGATTCCTATCGCATCATGGTTATTCAGACCTCATTTATCACACGATTGAAATCCCAACTACATATCTAAATTTTGAAATACAAAAGCTGTTGAAAGCCACCTTGGAGTTCGGAAATCATTTGACGAAAATCACGTTCGGTCGGCGTTTTCGATATCTAAGCTTAAAATGGCACATGGTAAAAAAATATTGTCAAATCCTTTGTACGGAAGAATAACTTCACACTCACCTGACCCGTGAAACTTTACTAGCAGAAGAAAGAGTAAGCAAATTTCATAATCACGCAAAGACACCATCCTATCAGACCTTTGCTGATGCTTCAATGAGGGAAGGTTGTGCCTAAATCTTACTGAAGTCCCTTGAAGGGATGGACTAGAAGGCCCTCTTCGTTTTGAGACTGGGACCGAGTGTCACGATCATAGTCGGCAAATTACCTGAACAACATGACGGATGGTGCGATTTATGGTAGAAAACTCCATTTATGCTAGACACTTAGGAAATTTGCATGAATTGTGGAAAATTAAGCAAGAAATGCGAGAAAGTCAATTTGAATACATCTTTTTTTGAGAGTAATTTTCCTCGATCTTGATATCAGCTTCTTCGTGTATCTTCGAACCATGTCATCCAAAAACATCTCTAAGACTTTTAGTTTTGTGCCCGGTGTAAAAAGAGACTTTACGATACGGTATGGTGAATCTGTACTCCGGCTACCTTGGCCGCGATAGACTAGGGTGAGTACGGCGTATTTCCCTCCAAATACGAATCGTTAAGATACAGCGACACTACGGCGAAAAGCTCAGAGCTCAATGCGTTGTTTTGCAGTCATTCTATTAGCAAAAATGTCATCCTTCAAAGAAGCAAGAGAGTTACTCCGTCTTTGTTAGAGGATGAATTACATTAGTGATGACGAATTTTTGTTGCTTTACGTTAGCTACGAATCACAAAACCTAGAACTTCCGTACGACTCGTTCTCTTAATTTG